AGCAGGATAGTACAGTAGTAATTATTCCAGAGCTTTGATATAGTAATGACTGACCAGAAACACACCAGAGTATAACAACTGATCAACACACTGCTGCATCTCCTTTGCCTCTTCACAGGTTTGCACGACTTTCCTTTCTCATGGTGGCTCTCACTTTGTAAAAACTGTACAGAAATTGTTTTTTAGTGGCAGGACTTTATATATACTTATAACTAACAAACCTTGTTTTAGTAAAAAAGTATAGTGCTACAGGGATCTGGAAATGTTCAGATAACAGAATGGTTCCGAGGTACAGTACATGTACAGAAAAAAATACTTTTATCAAAATTGTATTGAAAGAAAACAGCTTCATGTTTTAGCATCATGTACTCACCTAATAAGAAATGCAGTTGCTGCAGCAGGAGTGGGAGTAGATGGTGTTGGGGCAGAGGTAGTGTCACCTATGTCAACTTGAGGATATTCTCACTTCTTAATGTACTGTACTGTGTTTTTACTTCCAATAGTACTGTGCTGGAGAAAGAACTGTTCTTGATAGATTGTTTGGTAACCAAAGAACTGTAAACGGTGATGGATTTTTAATTCAATTCAACATTTCTTGCATGGTAACCTTCTTGAAGAAGGATTTCAGGTAACTCAAGAAGCAAGAATACAGATTGTATTGACCCATTACTTCCTGTCTGGAAAGTTCTCTTGATTCCATAAAGCTAATAACTCTTTCACCTGGTTCTTCAGCTGATACCAATGGATTTTTATCCCTTCTTCCTCACTTGAGTCCTTTTCATCATCATTTTCCAAAGTTTGGTTTAGATTTGTGATCATATCAATTACGGTAGATCACTGTCTGTCTCATAAATTTTCAGTTGCAGTTGCAGTTTCATTTGTCAAGCCTGGGTGTACCAAAATTTGTTCATTGTGTGATGTCTACTGTTTGTTAAGTACAGAAGTGAACACCTGTTTTTCTTCTTCTTGGTCCCCATTGAGGAACTTATAAAAAATATAATCTACAGACAAAGCTGGAGACAACTTGTGCATCAGTTTGTTTGGTGCTATTTACATGATAACAAACATAAATATCATCAGGCATTTGGCTCACAAAATTCTGCGGTCAGGAAGTATACACTGTCTGTGTACTTCTCCAAATGGGACTTTTTATGAACAGAACAGATAAGTGGACCTTCCAGATAAGAGGTGCCCAGATACCAAGTTGTTGACTATATAATTTATGTTACAATAAAAAAAATCTGCACTGTTCATATGTCTTATCCTTAAAGATAAAGAAATTGGAAGTAAACACGTGTATTGCATAAGAGAGCTGAAAAACATCTAGTCTCAGGTGATTCAAATTACTGTACAGTATATCTTACAATTTCACATTAAATAATTTTTCTACCAAGAAACTGAACATTAGTAAGAAATGATTGCACTCTGACATAATTAAAGATGAAACCTGTATATTCCTCATCATTCCATGGTACTGTACTACAATAATATTAAAACAGTAAACTATATGATATGGGTTTGTATACTAAGTTCATATATTCTACCAAGTCACCACTGTTACAGTATGTCTCTTACATGACTCACTCTATCTATTAAACAATGTGAGATTTTTCAAATCCTTACATGACTTCCATACACAAGGAAACCTAAAAGTCAAGCTGTATGTAGTATGGACAATATCTCTACATAATATATGATAGGGATCGAAGTCATATTTTCAATCAAGAAATAATTTAGGAAGTCTGGATAAGGAGGACTATTAATGCTAATGAATATACTGTACACTGCAGCTTCTGGTGATATATCCATTTGTTGGGGTTACGTAACTTATCATATACCAAGACAGATTTAATATATTTCCTAAGGTTGGTCCACACAGATGACCATCACCAATAGTATACACACCTTATAACAGTTGTATGAAATATTAATAGCACTTAGATACACCTCCCACATTATATTACAGAAAAAAAAATTAGTTTACATTCCTAAGTCTTTTTAATCAATTTTCATAACACTGGTAAGACATTCAGCAAAACTTACTAAAGTTAAGAGGCATAATATCCATTACACAGATTAAATCATAAATGTATTGATATTTATACAAGTTATATATAAGTATTCCTAAATAATACTAATTTGCTTATTGTATATTTGTAAATAATAACACTCTTTTGGAGTGATATAACTTACATCATTTATGCCATTTTTCACCATTTGTGGAGTGGCGATCCCCCCCACGAGAAGGGCTGATATAGCCTAGGGCACCGACATGGCTGATAGCAAGCTTATAACACACATCAGACAACACCCCACCAACCCTGTTCAACCACAAGACTTAAACTGTTCTTATGGGTTGGGGGACCAGAGTATAACAAAGTGAGCTGTGAAGCCCCTATTCTGAGATATACATGAGACACCAAACTCAAGGCGTTTTAACAGCATTTGCCAAACCAGAATATATCATTTAATCTGGTGGATAACTTTTAACATAAACTAAAATGATCACCATGCAGTACTTAAAAACCTGGCATCCAAGTGAATGTATTTGTATTACTGATGTAGTCTTTTATATACAGTACTCCTCTGAAGATATTTACTGAAGTTTTATATTATCTCTACATCTCTTCTACTTTTGTGTGGGATGAATCAACAGACAAAGAAACCTCAAATACTGGGAGTAATGTAAGACCAGTGTAAGAGAGGGGCAGAAGAAATGTCTACACACACTTGTTCATGTCTTCAACTGCAACTTTAACCTCTTCATTATGGGGACGACACTCTTAATATTTTATTTGGGTAACTCCAGACGATTTTATTCAGCAGAGAGGGGACCCCATACGCAAGTGGTTAATGTTATCAATATATGTACTCTAATATTTTGTTGGGTCATGCAAGATAAAATGGAAGAAAACTGTATTTCCATGTAATTTCCCTGAGGAAAATTATATATATTAAGTTTCCTTTCAATATTGGCTTCATCATTCATAGCTGTTGGTGATTATTCATATTGGGTTCCAGTCCTAATAAGCCCAAACCTAACCTAATCTTATTTAACCCTTTGAGCACCTAACTCGACAAAAGGTGCATCTATTGGTTTTGGGTAGTGGGACTTAAAGCGACTTTTGTCCAAGCCCGTAGAAAAATTCTGTGACATCAAGAGTAAATTTGAATATCTTCAAAGAATTTTGAGCTGCGTGCTCAGCTTCATGTAATTTGCTGGTGAACGGTGAGAGCTCAGAGACCAAAATTGTCTCTGACCTCCACTCTGGGTTGCGTCAGCTAATTCCCGTAGACGCTATCAGATTTCTCCTCAGTTTATATGTTATGACAACTACTGAACCGTGAATAGATGTAGAATACAATGATTGATAAGGAAATGAATTACAGTGAAACCTCGATTAACCGACCACATATGGGGGGGAAGGGGCCGACGGATAACCCGAAAGGTCGGTTAATACAGTAGTACATAAAGTCTACGGAAATAAAACATACATTTTCAAAGTACCTTTCCCTAACCTACCTCATTTAAATCCCTCTATTTATTTTTGTACATTTGCCATTCATATTTCAATAGAATTTGCTTTAAAACATTAACCACTTTAGTAAATAAATATGAACCAGCACAGAAACCGTGAATAAAAAATGGAAAAGTCAAAGAACGTGTCATCACAAAAATTGTGACAAAGTCCCAGGTTGCTTATCTGACTTTCTACCTCATTTACACACAATTGCAGGGTCTCAATTGCTTCTCTTACTATTAACAACACAACATACATATATTGTTTCTCACTCTTGATTTTTTTTTGCATTTTTGCATTTATTTATGGTTCTTTATTACTATTATTATAATTATAATTATTATTATCATTATCATCATTACTATTATTACATTATCGCCCCCCCAGACCCCGATGTGGGTCAGTGACCTGTGCCCGGGTGGGCTTATCCCTGTAATAAAAAAAAATAAAAAATTTTTTTAGGAGTTCGTGATTGACGGTTAATCCGAAAGTCGGTTAATCGAGGGTCGGTTAATCGAGGTTTTACTGTACAGTATTTCGTTATAATATAGGAGAAATGAGTGTGTGTTTATGCACCACGTTTGTTGATGCCTGAACAGTTCATCAGCTGTTCACCACTAACCACACTTTTCAGCTAATCCCTGTACTGGAAATAGGTTGGGATGATTCATGAGTGAATATATGATAGACACACACACACATATATATATATATATATATATATATATATATATATATATATATATATATATATATATATATATATATATATATATATATATATATATATATATATATATATATATATATATATATATATATATATATATATATATATATATATATATATATATATATATATATATATATATATATATATATATATATATGTTGTAACAAACAATAGGTTAATACTGTAGTGCATTAATGTTCGCAGTGATCAGCAACAACACGTTGTTGGCTGCTAAGGCTCAGTAAGTCTACCGGTACAGTACACAGCGGCATCAGCTGTAACAGTTAACAGCACAGTAATGTACTGTGCTGTTATTTATAGTGGAATCTCAGTATTATTTGTATTTTTATTGCTACCACATATTTTGTACATCATTTGAGTACCTACGTTATATTTAAAGGTGTCTTTTGAATTACTTGCTATGATTTGCATTTTTGGAACTGTAATTTCTCATCTAACAGTTTTTAGGAATTATTCCAAACTTCATATGCTGCACAGTGTACAGCATAATACAATTACTGCATAATGTATCACTTGTACTTCATTTATAAGCAGTTGTAAATCTGTATGACACTTATATGTAATTTGGCATGTTTTAGGTATCATTTTAACCAGTTTTTATTTGAAAAAAAAAAAAAAAAAAAAAAATTGTAAAACATTTTCTCAGCTTATTAATGATTTTCACACAATTTCAAAGCCATATATAAAAACTTCATCACAACCACTTAGGAAATATAAAAAAATGGTGAAAATAGCACTTAATTTTTATGGAGGAAAATCAAACATTTTGTGAACGACTCTGAAATCACAGGTGGTGCACTTATTATTAGGGCCCATTGGTTAGGTTGGGGTCCACGTAAACCTGAGACTTATTAAGACTGGGGCCCATTTGATGTGTAACCTTTCAACTTGATTCTCTCATGCTTTGAAAAAATTTTTCTACTCATCCCATTCAAAACTAATTCATAATTACAGTGCAGTACAGTACAGTATAGTGCAGTACTGTATCAGCATTCAGTGTATATATCTCTCTCTTATGGAGTACTGTCATTGTTGGTAACGAATCTTGACCAGTTCTTATTAGCTGCCAAGTATTACAGAATACAGTACATGATATCAATGTATGTTGTGCTCAAGGACCAAAATATCTATTCAGTTAATAATTCAAAAGTAGATCACTCTGTATAACTAAAAAAAAATTATGCCAGTTTTGTAGTAAAATTGTTATTCCTAAATGGTCAACAATACATTGTTACAATACACAATGACAAACTCATTTAACAGAGATGCAGTCTGAACGCTGTCTTGGTCCAGAACCTTCTTTACTATTGCATGTTAAACTTTAAATGATGTCAAGCTAACTGTATTTAATATACAACAGCTAATAAGCTCAAAAATTAATATAATATAATGCATATAGATAAAAATATATGAACACAATTCAGCATCAAGGAATGGACCACTTTGGATATATACTTCCCAAGTTCTTATTATAATATTACCAGTCAGTATTAGTAAAACTGTACACAGTGAAGCACATTCCTCTGGCACTTAGTTTCAAATTCATGTAGAAGTTCATCAATGTCGTTATCTAAATCCTCCGTGCCTGAGAGCTGAGAAAATAAGCCAAACATTAGTGCAGATAAACATATGAACTCTTAAAATATAGTTCAAATACTATAATCTATTAAAATAAAGTTCTTACATGTGAAAATTCAGTTATAATATTTTATTATGTCGGGTAACTAAAGGATGAGGTGGAGGAGAGGCTTTAAATGATACTGTGACACTACAAACTTTTGACACCCACAAATACAACCCATTTATTACACCAATACTGTACTTAAGTTCAACATGACTGCATGATTCACACAAGGTTTTCCCTATTGTGACTCTCATGTACAGTACTGCATTAAATTGTACCTTTCGTCTCTTTTATCAAACTAACCCACATAAAATCATGGTTAGGGACCTGTTTCTTATTCCTTTTTTCCTCATTACATGTTCCTCCTTGCCCTATACAATTCTTTTTATTCATCACTACTTTAAAAATTCTTATACAGTATCACCATTTCTTCATCTCAAAATACAGAACTACAGTAGCTGAAAACTTAACTTTTGACCTAATTTTCCCCCGATTAAAACTTCTATACCAGTCTCACTGTAATCACCACAAGTAATCTTCAGGTGTTCCAAATTAAAAATACCTGTATTGTACTACATAATACAAGGCTGTGCTCATCTTGATTCTACCTACCTGCATGAGAAGCTTGTAGAGGGTGGGAAAAAAGTTACACATTCAGCGTTCATCAAAATAAAAGGGAAGGGGGGAGGGAATACAGTACTGTATCAACTTGTCACGCTTAAATCACACCAATACAATGACACTTAAGTCTTACCAAAGCCGCTAGTTCGCAGATCATAAATGCACCAATGGTAGCCTCCTCGTGGTTGTCCTGAATGTCTATGTTGATTACGTGAACGGGAGTATTCTCCTCTGGGATCCGTGCTTCTAAACCTGTAACACAAGAATTTAACTCCTGTCCATCAATCATCCTCTACCCCCCTCCCCCTTTCCATTCTTCTGGGAGGTGGATCATGGTGTGGAGAAACCTCAAAAGGAGAGAAGATAAATGTGGAAAGCAAGAAGAAATACCCAAGGTTATAACTTAAAACCTACGTACAGGATCACATAAAAATTAGCAAAAGAGGGGTGGATATATTACTGTACGTTAAGAATGGATAGACCACCCTCCTGAATGGCTGATAAGGATGGGTAATCTTCAGGTGAAGTAAGCTGGGGTGCCTTATCTCCAGATGATCTAAAATTTCATAAAACTGTGAAGCAATTTTGGGAATTAATAATCCAAAAATCACTTAAATTAAAATACACAGACAGACAAGGATTGACAGAACCCATTTCCTCATCCCCTGTTTCAATTATCAGTGAGTGGGATACAAGAAAAGACAAACCTCATCAGAACATAAACAACTCATCACTACTTAAGATAAACAAAAAAGAAACTACAGTAAAGGATAAATCACCAATAACTTACCTAAATTCTAATTACATTGAAATATGAAAGAATAACAAATTAAAAAAAAATAATAATAATCTACACACCCTGTACGCACGCTTCAAAAAATATCATTACAGAGGGACCTGATGAATTACAAAATGAACACCGTGACTCCTGTTGTCTCGGTAGGGTACATGTCAAATTCCTTCATCCGTTGCGTCATTATTGTCCAACACAAAATCGTAAAGATACTTTTTAAAGCGTGAGTACACCATTTAATACAATCACCACCTTAATTACATACACCTCATCATTCTACCTCCATGATGATACTGTACTATACTTACACTCAAGAACCTGGTCATAAACTCGTTCTTCACACGTAATAATTATGTCAAACTTCTCTTTGCACACCTGAAATCTTTCCGGTTCAGGTTTGATTCGTCGATTTCTATCTAACATATGAAGAAGCCCATTCTGGGTGTATCTGTTTTTGAAGAGTTAAGGATTTTCTGAAATATTACTTAAAAACTAAAAAATAAATAAAAATAAATAAATGAATACACTAATGATCACACAGCCTTGCAACACATCGAGTACTCACAGTCAACACCGCCTCTTTCTCTCCTCTTATCTCTTACCAAAATAGCAATGTCCTACACTAAAAAAAATAATGAAACAAAATTGGGACATCAGACAATCAGTCAAACTACTGAAGCGTTTGTCTCTCCCTATATACGTACTGTAGTAACTGTTTAATATCTGTATGAAACTACCAACACCTCAAGATAATTTCAAGGTGTGATTTCAACAACCAAAATTTAGGAAGTGTCACTAAGATAATCAAATAAGACTAACATTTCCAATATTATCATCACCTCCCCTCATTACTCTCATAAGAACCTCACGACCCTCAACACCTTCCTCTGCATACTGTACAATGGAACAGCATTTAAAAGGTAAACATAATGCACTAGACAAACAATTCCATCATTTACAAGTAAAGATCTTTCCCGAGTGCTACAGTAACTTCTTGTATTCTTAACTGCCATTATATCAGTAAGCTAGATGTGATTATTGATTCACACATTATACAAGGAGGGAAGAGCATTAAATAGAATATATGTACAATCTGGGTCTTTATTGTGGAAGGGGAACAACAAAGATAACCACATCCATTACAGGATTAACACAGAACAACTGACAGCAAATGAGGAGAGAGTCAGTTTCACTCTTTGATTCCAGCCACCGTGAAGTAGTGGGAAAGGCCTTGCAAGTGAAAAAATTAAATAAATAGTAGACATCTTTTATATTGTTTTCCATAACCTGTAGTGTAGCAAACCACCAGGTAAAATGAGTTAGCTTAGCACAGCCCCAAATTTCCTGCATGGTATATATCTCATTGACTCGGAGTTCAGAACCTTATCAATATGTTACAGGATAAGGTCTCCCTCTCCCAGTATTGGTAGCAGTAGTAGTTCATAAAAATAGTGCAGTGGGTGAGTACATTTTGCTAAGTAAAAAATTTGTTGAGGAAAATATTGACACCCTATCACTCATCAGAGTACAGGCATGATCCAGTGGTACCTAACTCCACTAAAGTGTAGGAGGAGTTATGAAAGTGCAAATATATACATGATATAACCCCTCCAATCCATGAAGGATACTTGGATTAGCTCCACTTCTGAACAATTGATTGATTGACTGGGTAAAATATCTGGCCATGTGACACCGAAAATGAAAATCATAAGTCAAAGCTGCAGTATAATATAAATAAAATAAAATCCCATTAAATATCAAACTTAAAATAATATAAAATCCCCTACAGGTATTTATTTAAAAATCACAGGTAGTGAAGTACCTCTATGGCAATAAAAAATGTAAAAAGTCCACCATCAAGGTACCGAACTTCCCTTGCTGAACACCTTTGAGATATAGAAGGACGCATCCTCCTGCCAGCACTCGGCCAAAAAACGGCTCCTCAAGTCCACAGTCAGTGGCACCAGGCAGTCAACACAATAAGGCTGTGGTCCCCTGGCCAAAAGAAAACTGTGGGTGAGGTGAGTGTGGCCAACACATAGATGGGTAAGGGCAGTCTCATTGTGGCAGGGCATCCAAAGATATTTCCACAAATAGATCTTTTCTGTAATTTCTCGCAACTTGTTGGGAACGGATAAATTGTCCCATTTATAAATCAAAGCATGGGAGAAATTTTTTTTTCCCATAATCTTGATTTTTTGCTAAACCAAAGCTTCATAAATTGGGGACTACTGGTAAACTGCCAAAGATGAGTAAATAAATAAAATACCACACCAAGTCAACAGTGCCTGACAGAACAAAAGCCTTTCACAGATCCTACATAAATTATCGGATATTTTTCCACTTGTATCCCTTTTTATATTACAATCAATGGTGATGTTATGATGAATCAATTCTCACAATTTACCAAATTATAGGTCTAACTTATACAGTAAACACAACAATTCCCAACCAAAGATTCTCCTAGTGTGAATCAACTAATATATTACATAGTAAAGTTTTTAATTCATTCATCCTTGGTTAGAGTCTACTTATTTTCTTCTAAATATCTTGCACACAGAGTACAGCCAAATCATCACCAACAGTGGATCAGACTGATAATGTGACAGTTTGGGCTAATGTAACACAAAATCTTCAAGATGAGGTGTGTGAACAAACAGAGATATCCTAAAAAAAGCATTTTACCTTAAGAGAGTAAGATTATAGTAATGTGTACATAACCCCCAACCTGACCCCCCCCCCCAAAAAAAAATTAATAAATAAATAAAAATAAAATAATGATAATAAAATTAAAAAATAAAAAATGGCAAAGAGTTCAGGTACAAACTGAAAGAGCAACACAGTAACCCACAATATGAAGATGCTGAACTAAAGTAGTCAGGGTACAGTAACAGGGGGAAGTTGAAGGAGTGTACCAGCCCTCCCACTAATAAGGGCAAGTGTTGAACCAACTGTAAATATTGTTAACATAGTGCATACTGTAGCTTTACCCCTTAAGCCCCGGGTTAGGGTGCTACTGGCAGTACCCCATGGGGTTAAATTGTGAAAAGAATTAAACTACTGTATTCCAAAAAAAAAAAAATTAGATAAAAAATAAATTGGAGCGCTAGTCGGACATTCTGGAACATCACCCGGGGCCTAAGGGTTAAGTAATACTACAAACCCAGGGAGAACAAATGCTCAAGAATCACATTCTTCTAAAGGACAGTCCTAGAAACCAGGCCAATTATGTATTGGTACACAAATGCCAGAAGCCTAGTTAATACAAGTGATCGCGGGCCCTTCATGCCCGGTGAAAGTTTGAACGGTCGTGCTTGGCTAGCATACAGCGAATAAAGGTGTGCCAAGTCCATAGACTTGCATGGTTAATTAGGGTGCACCAAGTCCGTAGACTTGCATCGTTTTCCATCGTAAATAAAATGGTTAATTAATGCCTTCCTAAAGAAACCATCGACATGGAACCAGGTTTGTTCCACTCTACGAATTTTTTGCCATTTTTCCACCAAGTTTGATGAAAAACGATTGTGCCGTTTCGGCTGCCCAGAACAGACACACAGACAGACAGACAGACACACACACACGGCTATTCCTATAGTATATTACATGACTGATGTATTGAATGCATATGTGGACACAGAACTACCAGACATCCTGGGTTTGAGATGATGAGCCACAGGGTGAATTTTATTTACCATTTAGAAATGACAGGGCCACAAGAGGTGGTGGTGTACTATTGTATGTCGAGGAGCACCTCACATCAACCATTAATGACGAGCTAAATGAAATAGGATCATCTGAATGTATTTGGGGTGATTTGATAGCTCAAAACAAAACCAAGCTGACAGTAAGTGTATGCTATAGGGCCGACTCAGCTTCGGGGAGAAAGCAGCAGATCTCCAAAAAGTCATCCAGGCAGCATCCAGAGTACAAGCCCTTATCATGGGAGACTTTAATCATGAGACAATAGACTGGGTGAATCTTAACACACAAACCGAGGGAGAAGATTTCCTTGATCTCATTCAAGACTCATTCCTCACACAACACGTGTCGGAACCCACGAGGTGAAACAACATTCTAGATTTAATTTTGACGACCGAGGAAGTTATGGTGGACTACATACAAAGATGGAATACAATCTTTGATAGTCGAGAAAAAGTAGTTGGAGGAATACTATGACTTCACCCAAGGAGATTATCTTCTCATCAAAGACAAATTATAGAGAATTAACTGGAAGGAAATCGTTAGAATAGGCAGACAAACACAAAACAATACAAAACTTCACGGAAATCCTCGAGTTAAACGTGGATGAATGTATACCACGGAAAACAAAGATAAGAGGGAATAAGATCAGGTGGACGAATCACAGATCTAGGGAAGCCATTAAGAAAAAAAACAAGATACGGAAGAAATACCAGAGCACAGGGCACCATGCATATTATGTTGTATACAAAGTGCCCTAAATGTGGCCAATCAGAAGTCAGATCAGCTGAATGGCATTTTGAGATGAAATTAGCCCAAAACATTAAGAAATATCCCAAGCCCTTTTATGTGTATGCCAGGAGTAAATTGAAAACCAAGGATACTGTCAGAACTCTACAGGATGAAAACAATGTGGCCCTGGAGGATGACAGACACACAGCTGATACCTAAGTGAATACCTTCTTTAGTCTTCACACAAAGACATTTCTTTGTGTTGTCATGCATCACAAACACAAGAGGACATAACTACAAGCTCGCCAAGTTAACATGCAGAATGAATATAAGGAAATACTTCTTCACACTGAGGCTGGCAGACCTATGGAATGGTCTACCAGCCTAAGCTGTGGAATTAAGAACAGTACAGCACTGGGCTTCAAAATACCCCTTGACAAAATTATGAAGAACACTAGAGGGATCCTACAAAGGCCACTGGCCTCCTTCCCTAGGCCATTTGGTAAACGAGGTAAAATTAGGTAAAATATCATACACGTATTACTCATAAGCTCAATAAACAAACCCAGTACAGTAGTTACTATTCCTATCCTCAACACTCATCTCCTAAATGGGACAAAAAATACAGTAGTTTGACTCACTATGGATCAAAGGAACTTCTTATGGGAAATAAGGACCAGGGGTGAGCTCATAAAATTTTTTCAAGCTTCCAAAAATTACTTTCTAAACATTTAGTGGTTTTACTTATACAGTAAGCCTTGCCTACACATCATACGTAATCCTTGATTTGCATTACTGAGATGAACATACCATACAATATACAATATGTTGCCATCATAAGTCTTGGCTGGGTGATCCAACAATTCTTCCTTTTTTGGAAACTTAAGTAGAGCTTCTTCTTCTAATATTCATTTTCTGCTTTTCTGGCCAATAGCAGATGAGTCTTGAAAAACAAGCAGATGCTTTGTGATAAGAGTCAGGGAGGCTTAGTGACCTTGTCACTACAAATGTAAAATGGTGTCTCCATTTTGCTAGAAATGTTCAATACAGGTATGTTTGCCAGGGTACGTCTGCCTATGACACATATCTGCAACGGGGTGAAGGAGGGAGTTTCATGAGTTTATTGGTAGAGTTTTTTCTTATGCATTCCTCACAAACTTACAAGGCCAGGAGCTGAAGGGTTGAGTTTAATAAAATTTATAATTCAATTGTCAAAACAATAAACACAAGTGTTCACTGATACTTTCTTCCGCCTTAAGGAAGTGACACCAACTAATCTGTTCTACACCATATGCTCAACCATCCTACCATACAGTATGTAACTGATAAGGCAGCTAGAAATACCAATGACAGCAGTGGAGGGTAGGTCTTCTGTTGCTCAGTTCTGGCCATTCTGCTCCAGTGGGAAACGTATTATAAGAATAAATAAAATACCGTATAACGAAAAAACACTGCAATTCCTCTTATTCCTATTATTATCCATATTTATCATTCTAAAACTTAACTAACCCTTCCACATTTTCTGGTATTTTTTAATCTTCCCTTCACACAAATGGCTACAACAAATACAGTAATGAACATTGACAATTGTGTACACATATACTGGTCGATTATCAATTCTTTTCCTTTTCTCACATACCTTTCCATTAGGCTTCAGGAATAGTCATTTAAAATTACCTTATTACAATACTGTATCTGTGACCAATCAGTCGCCTTTTTTCCCTTTCTATAATCAATAATACAGTTGTACAGGTATTTCTTATTGTTAAGTTAACCACTTGTGCATGGGGTTCCCTATCTGCTGAATAAAATAATCTGGTAATAGCTAAATAAACTATTTAAAAAAGAAGTCCCTCATAGTGAAGGCATTAAACCATTAGCAGCATAGTTACTTTACCCCAAAATGGAAGTTTTTCTTCAAGAATAGTCTGGCAGTAGTATTCCTGACATCAAGATCACACAGCAGAGTTCAAAGGTCATCACCACCATTTAACAGCAGTTTTCCATGCTTCAAGAACAGTAAGTTTCTCTGATGACATTTAGATACAGTACAGAGAACCTGCCAAATAAATATCTCCAAATCTGTCGGGAGAAGAAGATTATCAGTCGAATATATCAAAAGCCTTCCTTTCTTCTGGGATCTTCTCTTCAAATGAGTGGCCTTGTGAATCCTCCTCCTCAACCACTATTACACCTATTACAGTGTACTGTATTTTATAATTAAAAATAAATACAAATCCTCAAAGTTGATAAAAAGTTAAATACTGTACACACAAAGCTGCCTCACTGACATTAACATCCTCCATTGCAATTTGCATTGAAAATTTCAATATCCTCGCCAGTCTTTGTGTTTCAGTAATGACAGACACAAGAAAAACTAAGAGAAATTAATAACAAAACATATTTGAGCAAAGTGGTAAGCAAAACAAACCAATTAAGCATTCAACATCAAGTAATCATTTTAATTATTCCTCTTCTTACAGACAAGTCATAGGATCTTCCACCAATGTAAACAACAGCCATTCACACTACTGTATCACCAACCACATGTCCATCCACGTCAAGACGAATTAGTTTACCTTTGATAACACTCACACACTAAAACTTCACAATTTCTACACTGTATTTCTCTGCCCCCGAGTTGAATCACTTAATATACTATTACACTACAATATAATAAATTAACCTATTCAAAAACGTTAGCTAACTTGAATAATTATGTTATCTCAATCAGAGGTATGATGTGCAACAAATTATATACCTGCTATATTATTGTTATTGACAAATTTGGGAAGTTAAGGTTTTTTTATTGTACTGTAGTTTCAAGTATATACTGTACGTACTCCAATTAAATATTATATTACAATTATAAGGATATAAACAACAAATATTGTATTATTGCAAATTTATTGTTTAAATCTACATGTCAAAAAGAAAAAAGCTGTCTTTGACAACAAAAATATTATTAAGCACAGAATTACAATAAGAAAAGACTACGGTACCAGAACAGTGTTTCCATCCAGCTACCCGTTAATCTAACATATCCCTTCTTTACCACATACTGAAACCATAATACCTGTACTGCACTGTATGAATCTACCAAAGTTTTGGTTTGTAATAAATACGAAGTTAATTTTGAGAAGTTTCAAAGCATCTTATTTATATCAGCATGTTAGCTATATTTATGACCTTAGTATTTCAAGGTACTGTACAGTACTAACAAGTACTTCACTCAAACTGTCTCAAAGAGCAACATGATCACTGATCTGTAACGTAAAATGTGATACAGTATTTTCAATATCCTGTTCACTGTATAAAGGTCAAACAAAGTCACAGATGAATAAAATGCAGTCTTACCTAAAATCATGCCTAAGAAGACACTTCAGCCAGGTTTCAACAAAATCAATATTAAAAGACTGTAGGGAACTTGTCATGTTGACAACTTTCATGCCTACAGACAGTGACAAACAGCTAGGTAACACTGTACATATCCTTATCCTGCACTCATCATTTCAAAAGTTTCAACTATAATGGCCCCCTGACATGGATAAAAATCAATCCACTTAAAACGATGTAAAAAAAAATTGGCAATATTACAAGCACGGTAACCATAATTTCAACGAAAAAAAAATTAAAGTCTCACCATCCACGCTACTGTGCTCACGATAATCCAAGAAAAATTTCAAGTTACAGTACGTCCCTTTTCTCACATTTGCAAAGCCTCTACTGCTATGGCACAGGTGGCAGGTTGAATAAAGGGAAAACCGACTCTCTTGCATTTTCTGTCAATCTCATTCATACAAACTGCCTTACTAGAGGTGCTCTACTATAGATACTTACAATAAAATAAACTGAAATATTTGTACAACATAACAAACAATAAAATACCCACCCCCCACTACCTTCCTGTGTGTAAGTTTGTGTTCTTTAAATGTACAGCAAACAGACGCCTATTAAAACCTTCAAAATATTCCTCTCTCGTCTAAAGATGCACAAGTTCATATCATGTTAATTTTGCCTATGTGTTCATCATATCATGTTTATCTTAGTTTGCTCACTTCTTGATAAAAAGAAAAATAAGGGAGAATGGAATAAACAGTACCCATAAAGAAGAGTATTTGTGGGTTTTGTGAATGGAGAAAAGAATGGCATAATCTTGGTAAAACATGCAGATCTGGAACCCCTACTTATTTCACCTGATGATTAAACACCTTAATGCTAAATTGGGAGATTAGACTAGGTTAGGTTAGCATTAGGGTCCTTATTTCACCTTAATGCTAAATGAGCTGATTAGGTTATGTTTGGGGTGTGTGCTCCTAATCTTCATATATAAACAAACAATAGCTGTTCTTCCATGGACGAATGTTAACAGAAGGTTGACGCATCACAGTAATCAAATTTAACACTTGACGGTTACCTGTAATAGCTACATTGCAAACTTCTTTAATCAGTAACAATTATACCACTATTACCACCCTTTCCTGTTCTACATCTTCATAAATAACTCATTATTATTTTTCGACAGATTATTTCATCCCTCCTCCCCCTTCCCCATACTGTTTAGTACAGTATCTACCTCTTACCGGTACTCTATGCATGGAGTTTCTTACATCCTCAGCGACTCGTTTCTCTCCTACCTTTCACACCTTAATCATTGTTCACTCTACTCCACACTCTTTAAGTTTGTACATCTGATACCCTTCTTTCAATTCCCTGCTAAAAAATATATAAAAATATTCAACCACGATTATATATGTAAGTATAAAAAGGATACAGTGTTTTATCTTTTTTTAAAAGGTCATTATAGATATCATCATAAGATGTTCCAAACTCGTAGCAGTTGGGTTTGTCTGGGGCAGGTCCTGGTAGCTTCACCTTGTCTCCCGTCCCAAAGGATCTCACATTAAAGCCTTTTTTACTGTTGGAAAAGTTGACATATTTATTCAGAAAATAGAAAGTGGTAGTTTCAAAGTAACTACAGGTACTAACAGATTTACTAAAAATAAAAATAAAAAACGAAGGCAAAGACAGTTTTTCATTCCACTTTACAAAGTAAAGTACATACAGGTATTTCTGGATATGTATATAAACATTCCTCAAACATTAACTACTGTCTCTTCCCTATCTCTAATTATATTCCTCCCATATTTACACCTTACAAATATGCAGTTTAGGAGTTAATATTAAGTTGATCACCTCACTAAGATGACTCAAGAAATTCTATAGAATATGAATCCCAAAGTCTGCACATTCATAAACCTAAATAAAGGAGTTACTGTACCAGCATATAACGAGGCTGAATAATATCCACTTACCTTAGGAAAGCATGAGCCTCCATACTGCGATTCATGTTGCTAGAGCAGGTCACTGCAAACCCAAGTTCAGCCATAATGTAACTTCTGAAAATTAATAATACTGTCAGTAAAACTCACAAAATTATCATTATTTAAAAATAATAAATATAGGCAATACAGTAGAAACGGTTCAATCAATGCAACTACAGTATACCCAAGATAAAACTCAATTAACAAAACAGTGTCAATCTTTTCCTCATCATCAAAACTGAACACTACTGTATTTTATGCTATTTTCCATGCTTGTATGGGTTAGCTATGACTAGCTGATGGCAGATCTCCATGTTATGAGGACTCTTGCAGCCTCTCTCATCAGGTTCTTAACTCTAATAGCATTTCTTATAACCTCTCACAAAGTCATATTTGACTTCCTTAACATTTCCCAAATGTAATTTCTTGTGTCAGAAATATTCATCTTTGGAGACCTAATATTAAAGAAGGATAAGAGTGCCATCTTACTTATCTCAATACTGTACAGTACTTTAAGGGAATTTTTCCAGTTACCCGGTATACATAAACCATAAATATGGTACAGTATCAATGATAAAGGTTCATTAATGATAACTATGTCAGAATACCCATGTGAAATAAATTCCTATCAATTTCAAACCGGATTGGAAACTATAGGATTAAAGGTTCCTATAGCTCACAAAGTCTATAGAAAACTCAGTAGTCAGTGCTTCAATCCGAGACATAACACTAAATTGGAAAAAATTACTGGCTAAGTATATTAAACTGTACAATATATCTTCTGCTTGAAGCCAAAGGTCCCCTAGAGACCCAGTCCTAAGCCTTTATCCCAAAACTAGTGGCTAAGCATTCTCAATTCACCCACCACATGTAAAAAAATGGAACACAAGGAACATGAATCTTCCACAGATCATAGCCACCGTCCCTACAGTTAACTTTTACTGTTAATGGCTACCATTTAAGGGTCAAGGGTTAACTCTGCTATTACACTCCATAAATGACTTGTCTACAGCATACACAGCCTAACAGTTAAAGGGGGGAAAAATAAGATTATGGAACACTGAAAACAAACATCACCTTACAGCCAAACTGAAGGAAGCTGCCTGTTTAGTCGTGCTTCTGGCCACCACATCATGCACTAGAACTTCCCTACGAAGGCTGAACCCTTAAGGTAGTCTGCCAAAGAACCAACCTGCCCCTTTGATGGAGGCACCAAAATTGCCTGCCTTGTATGTCTAGCTCCAAAAATCAGAAAAAGTTAGTTTTAAGAAATATTGGTCATCAGGAAGTAGTCCAATCAAAGAGGCAGGCTAAACACAGTAAAGGACAATGAAACACACAAACCATGGTCCTTAAGCCTGATTTCCCTTCCACCAAGTCCCAAGTTACTTTTCCCTGACCCCATGTAAAATACTGTAGCATTTTTCACAGAGAGGGAGTTTTGTGCAAGAGTAAAATACAGACACGAGACAACAGCCACAGTATGCAACAAGCTCTAAGTCTCTCTCCAAATATGTCTGTATTCAAACACCATGATAAACTATGTTTTCCACTGTTTGCCAACAAGAAGTTGGCCTTCAATTGACACCATAAGTGCCATCTGCCATGAGGACTTTGATAATGCTATCCGAGAGGTTCCAGTTGCCATCAAATGATGTCAATTTGCCAGGGATACTGCTACAAGAATCACCTAAGGGAAACATCCCTAGCCCTTGGAAAATCTCACACCTTGACCTGGAACCAAACATTATCACTCATTTTCAAGCCATCTTCAAGGAAATGAGAAGATAAAGATTAATTCTGTGCCTTTCTTCCCTAAATAAAACAAATCTACGAAAAATTTGATCTCATCTGCCCATACACAATTACAACCATCAGAAATATGCAGCACTATTTCTCACCAATGAGTGATTCACTGGTTATTGGTAATACTGCAGCACTACTAAAAATATTGCAGGTCCACATAATAGCTACTGTAATGTCTGAAACCATTTTACAAAGAAACAATATTTCTTAATGATAAACGACTTTAAAAAAAACAATAAGTTATAGGTATTCCTCGGTCGACACATGTTTCTCACAACACAATTCCATTTTTACACTACTCATCAATTAGGGAACAGCTTTCATAAAATATAATCCATTTCTGGTTTAACTCAGTCGATAGATGAATGCGTTCTAGACATGTCCTGGACATGGGTTTTAAGTGTCTCAAACTGAAGCATATTATCATAGCTGAAAACCTTTATCGGTGGTTGCTATACAGTATACGGTATAGGCAATTAACATTCATATCCTGTGTTCAGTTTTGTTTATACAGTAAAACTTAAGAGTATCTGACCACCAGAGAAGTGAAACGTGTGAATAACGACACATATCTTGGGAAAAAATAAAAAAATATACCTCGGATGTCATTGTTATGGAGTGAAGCAGCGTGGACCGTGTGGTCCCGCCTGCATCACAACTACACAGCCATGCTCTACTCACTCTACATATGGCTATTACTCAGTGCAGACCTGTTCTGTCATGACACATAAATAAAACACATTGTGAAAACAATGCCCAAGCAAGTACGTTCGCTATAGGCTCCAAAGAGCAGAAAGCACCTTACCATGAAGGATAAACCAGCCATGGTCAGCAATACCCTGTACAGTATAGTGAAAGCATATTGTTAGTGTGATCCACTTTATCTCCACTCGAACTGAAAGTGGGTCCCAAACACACCCGCATAATCTTCACTATGGCACATAACAAACATCACGAGGCAGCTGTGGCCTTGAGATGAGCTACATATGTTGCCACCGATTCAGTTATGAAAATGTATTGTTTTCATTGTTTAATATAGCAATTATTGCTCATTTTTGACATACAGTATGTAAAATATAGAATAACAAAGGATTGGAGGCTAATTCACTTTTTACTCATTGTTAAATCTACATATGATAATGAAATTCCCAAAAACAAAGTTGAATTTCACGAACTTGTGCACTTCATTGCCAGATGTATACTGTACACATCCAAATCATCCATTTGATCTCACACTGCACAAGGCCAGTCATGCCACATATACATACAGTATATGTACGTCGGGACTCGGGAACCTTCAAAAATCTTCTGTGGCTCTGAAAGCTTCTAGAATCTACAAACTTACCTACATCTATTAACATTTAAATAAAAAACATCTGAATTTACTGAAAGTTCCGTGGATCATAAGTATGATAATTATACTTGAACTAATTTATTAAGAACTTAAATACACCAATCTGTGTTAGTGTAATATCCTGGCTGTTGTTTTGAACAGCTGTGCTATTATGGACGTCTGAATAACGACATAGCTGTGGCTTAATTCGTTCGGTACTCAAGGTTTTTACTATAGATTCATGGTGCTTGCTGAAGATTTTATGAACATTTTAACTTATTTTCATTCACTTATGCTCATTCTTTCTTTTGTTCCTAAACTGAAATTTTCAGTCAATACCTTCAACTTAACCTCCATGTAATAATTTGGGCTGACTGGTAAACTATTAACCCTCTGGTACTCCTTGCCATGGTCAGAAATCTCACTCCCTCATTGTCTTTTGACGTATATTGCGTCGGTAACTGAAAGGGTTTTTTTTCATTTTAATAAATATTAGGTATAGCAATCCAGACCCAAATTACACCCTTAGAGATGCATCTGCCAGCCCACGACACTAGTGGGAGGAACTTAGGTGGTTGATGGGAGCGGTCCACTGCTCTGTTTAAGGGAGGGGTGCTCTCAGTGCGAGGTACGGCTGAGTGGGAGGGACCGAGCCAGCACTGGAGTGTTTCAGAGACGTACTTTGCGTCGAAAGACCACGAGAAAGTTAAATCCACACCTTAATGTAAAACAGTACCCAAGAACCTGGCATACAGTCAAAATATAGTTAACAAGCACATTACAGCTAAATATGATCACTTCTCAAACTGCATACATGACAATAAATGTCACCTGCAAGGCTAAACTATGGAGCTGATGATGTATTCCACAAAAATTATATACTGTAGCTTCCAGTTCTGGAGATGGCATCACCGGGAGGTAAATTAGTGTTCAGGATTAAATAATTTGTAAAAATATACCGTAACGTGTTTTAGACCTAATGCAAATGTCTTCAACATACTAGTTGCATAAAAGAAAATTTTCTGTGAAACTTATGGCAAGTGTTACCAACAGTTGGCAATAGTCAAGATGTTCATTCCTGGCAAACTCTTAGTAGCACAGTGAGCTCTTTTGTCAACCTCCCAAAACATCATTTCCTCAGTAATTTAAACTTTATTTTCTTGTTTACACATTTGATTTAGATTCTATACGTAAATTGTATGACGTTTTTACCTCACTTGGCAGCCTGAATTAAAATCTATGGGAGAACTGACCACAGAAAAAATATAAAAATATACCAAGAGATATTGAATTTTACCTTACAAACCTTTTAATGGTTAAAAATAAAACTACACAAATGCGTAGTACAGCTGGATGACCTATAATTGAAGCATCATTATCATACAAGTTCCCTGTGACCTATAATATAAGTAACCATTACACAGGAGCACATTACACAACCTCGTTATATTCCTTGGGTAGAGCGACCTTCACTCTCCTCTACCTCATATACTCCCACTCGTAGAAGGTTTACAACATAACGCCGTCCTGGTGCCATAGATAATACTTACTAGAGGTACAAACTTTAGCATTAATGTGATATATAATAAACCAGACCGTGACTTACACTCCTCCTTCTGGTAAAAGCAAAACAATGTCGCGGGCTTAGAAGGTTTATCAAGAAAACTTCCTATTCTGCCTCTTCCGGTTTTACTGTTAAAATAAGCATACAAAATTACTATAAATTTATATATTGATTTATATATATATATAGTTATATTTGCTATTTTATCTGAATTAAAAATGCTCTCAGAACAAAAACGTGAAGAAATATTTACACAGGCGCTCTCTTGGATGATGTGCCCCGTGATATACTTATTTTAATCTACTTCTGAACCTAGATGATGATTTTATGGCTGTGTATCCACAGATCTTACTCTGTATAATAATATTAACTGTTAGAGCGAGCGAGGTAGATATTTTATGACATATTTATAACTGACGTTATCAGCAGTCATCTTGTTCTGCCAATTGTTTGTCCAACCTTCTCTCCAATATCACCTCATTTGGAGTATTTATCACCTGTCTTCTCAGTTATACCGTTTTATAAATCTATAAAACACAGTTAGAAGTTATTCTGTCTTAGATAGGTTTGAGTATCTGCCTTGGACACCTATTGTATACTGTATACGGGTCCCAATATATGGTGGGGTTCGGTAGTGGGTTCGGAGCTCAGTGTCGGGTTCGTCCACTCGGTCTCGGCCAGAATGTAAACAAATGTTACGAATCATGTCTGAGGGAGAGGTGGCCAGGGCACTAAAATGTGTCTTAGCACGTGTGTCTACAGCAACAAAGGGTCGACGTCCTGTAAGTGAATTAACAAGTGATTATCAAGTAGTGGTCAGTCTTTGAATAGTATTTACTGTTGATCTTTATTTTTGTCGGATGTGTTTGCTAGGAGCGTGATTGGTAAATTTTGACTGAAGGATTTGATTTTTTTTACCCTGCTTTCTCACCATCCTCTTTATCACTTGTCACTTTACTAGCCAGTCGGGAGGTCTGGTAAATTTTCACTAATGCACCCGGAAATCAGTAGTTTTTGAGACCTCCCCCCCCCCCCTACCCATCAATCATAACGATTTTTTTTCTCAAGTAAATCACAAATTAAAAACCAACAGGTATTATTGCATTTTCGCACCCCACATTCCTACCCCTAATCTATTATCATATTTGAATAAGACGTCTAATTATAAGATAATTTTCTTATATTACATTTCCGTCGCAAATGTACAATAACGGAGATAGTGCATCCAAAATTTTCTCTATTTTCTTCAATTAATCTTCTGCCGTTATTGCCTACCTCACCTCCCACACTGCGTGTCTCCTTCATAAATCATCACACGCATGTGTTCCCGTACACGTCACGCGGCTAATCAAAAGCGTTTTTTCTTTACAACCAATTTAAATGATTTGTGGTTAAATTTGCGGTATTTTTGGCCCAATCAAATTCGATTTTTATTTTGGATCTCATATTTCCACTTTCTTTTACTTTTATCCTCTTCGCCACTGATCGGCTTGTTAGCCGCTTGGGCGATCGGTCACGTCTCTGATTACTTTTCCTTTTCATTTGTCTTCTTCACCAAAAGATCGGCTCACTAGCCGCCCGGGCGATCGGTCACGTCTGTCAAGCACTGTTGGCAAATACTGGGCATGCACCGGCTCCTGAATGTACCGGAACCCGCTCCAGTGTTGGTCAAGTCTTGTCTTGAAAGAGCTACTCGGTGCCGTCACAACACTCTCTGGTAGATTGTTCCAAGAGTTTACAACCCTCACTCCGAAAAAGTTTGCCCTCACGGTTTTCTGGACTTGTGGCTTCTTCAATCTTGAGTTGTGACCCCTTGTGGGGCGAGCGTCCGACAGCTCCAAGTAAGGACACTCAACTGAGTAGTGCCCCCTGAGATGCTTATACACCTCAACTAGGTCCCCCCTTGCATTCCAATCTCTCAGGGTAGCTGAGGTGCCGAAGTGCAGGCACCAGTCTGGTGGCCCTCCTTTGAACATTTTCAACCAACTGACAGTCCCTAGCATATCTCGGGGACCAGATGGGGTGACAGTACTCCAGATGGGGAAGCACTTCACTCCTGAAAATCGTTACGAGGGACGGACCGTCTAGATATCTGAACGACCTTCTAATAAGACCCAATAATTTATTTGCCTGATTTACCTTCTTCTCGCATTGGCCCGAGAATTTCAGCTCATTGCCAACATACACACCTAGATCCTTCTCACACAGTCTCAACTAGTGCAGTTTCTTCATCACGTTGGGACATATGATATGCCTCCTTACCGTTGGTACACCCCAGGTGCATCCTCTTACACTTCGTGACATTGAATCTCAGCAGCAATTTCTTCGACCATTCCTGGAGCCCACAGAGGTCCTTCTGCAGTTCTTCACAGTCCGCTTGGTTCTTAATTTCCCGAAATAACTTGGCGTCATCGGCAAACATTTGTATGGAGGAGTGTACGTCAGGCATGTCATTTATGAAACAAACAAACAACAGCGGGCCCAATACACTGCCCTGTGGTACCCCACTTGTGACAGGTACAGATGACGATTTCGTGCCATTGATCACCACACACTGCTTGCGGTCATGTAGAAAGTCTTCTATTCACGCTAGGACACTTCCCCGAATTCCATGCCCTTCCAGTTTAATTTTCAGCCTTTTGTGGGGTGCACTGTCGAAAGCCTTGGCAAAATCTAGGTAAATATTGTTGATATTACCACCCCGTTCCAGAATATGGGTCCAAATATCCAATACCTTGAGCAATTGTGTTTCAAATTCATTTCCGACCATGGAAGTCTGCGATGGGTGTCACTTCAATTGTATGGAGCTGATTGTGAGTTTTGGGAAAAAAAACGAAGAAACTATAGCATTTTTTCAATCTCATGGTGTTCTCCCAACCTCAGTAAAGTGTCCTAAGTGCAAGAACGAAGACAAAAGAAGAGACGGCCAATAAGGTAAGAAATAAGTGATTCCATCATATGGTGAGAGTCAGTTAGGTTAGGTTTGGTTTATGTTTTTCTAGTATTTTTTTGTGTATTTTGTATTCACTTAGCCATTATTTTTTCTCGGGAAAATGACCCACAAAAAAAAAAGGCCAATTTCCGACGGAAATGAAGGTCATAATCTGTCTAAGCACACATAAATACACTAGAAAAATTTATTTTTGACTTTCTAACAAGAGTTGGGTGCACTTATGCAAATTTACCAACCAACAAAACCAAACCTAACCTAACACTATTTTTCTGATGAAACTCTGCAAATTGACATAAATAATCTCTATCACAATGTCGGCACAGCTCTTTCCACCTTTTAAGCCATATCTGGTTATTCTGGTACTGAAAAATCAAATCTCCGCTCCCGACACTCACGCATTGTTCATTGATTTAGACAAAAAAAAAACCTTTTTTGCCCAATTAGAAGTCTCCTATCACTATAGCCAACAAGAAACCCCCCCCCTCCCCCCACACACACATGCGCTGTAGATGCTTAAGAAGCCAACACGGAGGTAAGGAGCACTGTGTGATGGGTGGTCAGTCCTTCTCTGTGAGACATAAACAACAAATGGCGACACTTGTGACTGACCAAATCTAATAATATTGAAAAATTAATATATGTTATTCTTAATTTCCTGCAGGATTATCACAGAAGAAAAGGATCTTAGAATTGTGTAAACATTACAAAAAACATATTAATAACAGCGAGAGAAAGACCGGTGCATGATTGAAATTTCACCAGAGGTCTGTTAGTTATTTATTATGGTTTTTGTTGTTACTGATCATAAGAATTTGTACATAATGTTAACCACGTAGTATGGAACTTGTGGTAACGTATTATAGATTTATAATTTGTACAAAACTGTAACTACTTGGGTTTTTTTTTCCTCTTAGGATGTGGCAGCACTTGGTTCTCAGGCTCGGTTGGTTGCCGTCAGCAAAACCAAGCCAAAGGAGATGATAATTGAAGCATACTCAGCTGGCCAGCGACACTTTGGTGAAAATTATATCCAAGAGTTGGTGGACAAGGGTAATGATCAGCAGGTAATTTATAATATGTGTGTAGGGGGGTTGAGTTACTTCACTACACACTGAGTTGACAGGTCAAATAGGTCTCAGTTTTACTTGTTCCTAACCTGACCATTGGTATTAAAACAGTCTTATAGCACCACTTATAATAGTTAGGTTAGGGTTTATTTGACCAACAAACATACAATCAGAGAAAGTTTACGGGATTTGTGTGTACAGTGCAATATATATTAACTTATTGATGTCCGTATGTAGTTTCAACATTTGTGATTTCATAAATTTATTTACATTGGTAAGAGTGAGGCAATTATATTTCTGCTACTGTCCTCTAGCCAGCTGGCTCTAGTGACATGGGCTGCTTACAGTGGTACTATGTGTGTCTTCACAGAACCCTGCACTGTCACCCAGGGTTGATCATTCCATTGTTTTAATTTCAGATATTAGCTGAGTGTCCTGATATCAGGTGGCACATGATTGGTCATGTTCAGAGCAACAAGGTTAAGAAAGTAAGACCATGAGATACGACTTATTGTTTTGTTTATGTAGCTCATTAATCGGGTAAGTCCTGGTAAACCAGATGAATCAGGAAAAGGAGTCTGGTTATTGTGAAAGATGCCTGAAAAACAATAAACAGTACTGTATAGTATTATTTTCTCTTTTTGTGGCCATATAGAATATATACAGGTATCAGCAGATATATTGTGCCTATCTTAAGAATTATTTATATTATTGACAGGTTGTTGAAGTCCCTAATTTGCACTGCATTGAGACTGTTGACAGCATCAAGTTGGCTACAACTATCAACAATGCCGTCCAAAAGAACCTCGGAGACAAAAAGTTAAAGGTTTTTGTACAAGTTAACACCAGTGGGGAGGATAGTAAGTCAATTCTAACATATTGTTTCCAAGATTAAAAACTTTTTATACCTGTATTTAGGTTGGAAAAATTCACTATTTTGTTAAGAACATTAAAGCACTTTAAGTAACTACAGTATTATTTATTTACAGGTTTATTCACAATTCTCTGGTGTATGGTTAAGTATTCTTATAATATAAAAGTGGTATCAAGGATTGTTTTGAATGAGGAATCGTACAATTAGCATATTTTTTTTTAGATAACCTCTTAATGTATTACTATAATTATAAATTACAGACAAAAGCGGCATTCATCCAGATAGAGTAAATGAGTTAGTGAGCCACGTCCTGCAGAACTGTGCCCACCTAGACCTAGCTGGCATCATGACCATAGGGGCATTTGATCATGATCTCACAAAAGGTCCCAATCCTGACTTCCAGGTAGGAATACTGCAGCTGAGGAGCATGTTAACCCCATTCACTGTGGGGATGCCACTTTTAATACAGTATTTTGTTTGGTTAATGCCAGACAATTTTATTCAGCCCAGAGGGGTCCCTGTACATGAGGAATTAACTCATATATCTGGCTACAGATATGAAGGGCTCATTCTGCCACATGTTGGATGGTTCTTGAGAAACTGAAAGCCAATTGTTTTATAAAGAGAACACCATGAGTCTTTATCTTGTCTATGTCCTTGGCATTGAAAATTATGATGTGCATTGCATTTTCAGAGGTTGCTGAAATGTAGAGCAGAAGTCTGTGAAGCTCAGTGTATGGAAACCAAAGATGTAGAATTATCTATGGGTATGTCAAATGACTTCGAACATGCAGTAAGTATACTATGATGTGCGATGTATATTTAAGATATTTTAACATAAGTATATGAGATCATACATTAGTTTACTTAATGGTCAATTGCATGGTTCTGTTTGATGTTCATAATGCCACTACATGTGTGTATTTTGTTTCAGATTCTTGTTGGCAGCACCAATGTGAGAGTTGGCAGCACAATCTTTGGAGCACGAAATGTCAAGAAGTAAATGACTAACATTAAATTTGTTATTTAGAAATTGAAAGGGAGTTATGGTAATGCTCTTACCAATATCAACTACTTATTGATATTTTGCTGTCTTGGTGTTTATTTTACTTCCTTGTATGTTATTAATATCTGCAAATGTTATTTTAAAAATTCTTGAACTTCACTATAATAAAGTGTGAATGAATACTGTTAAGTCATATAATATGTACAGGGGGTATATGGAAGAAGTAGTAAATTGATTAGGAGGCGAGTATAGTTGTACTCTGAAAGTTTATGGAAAGTATCAAGAGTTAGGACATTATTTCTATAGGTATCAGTAGTTTTTAAAAGCATAAATTCATTCAGATATGAGGATTGTAGACTCACAAACAAGACCAACTGGAAAAAGTTTAGTGAGGCAGCTATCATTTTGCAGTGAGAGAAGAATGAAGTTGATTGAAGCCTGGTACTGTACTGTACTTCAAATACCCATGTGGGTGTGGTACCTGTATTAATACTTGTTATCTTGGTCCTATATATTATCATCATTTTCATCTAACCTACACAAAACTGGAAGGGGAATGATGATAATTGATTGCAGGATTAAAAGTGCAAAGGTAATTATTTCCTAATACTGTATCTTGATGCAACAATTTCACATCAGGAATTAGGAGAGGAGTAATGTTTGATAGAAGTTTATATTGAAGAATACAGTATAGAGATTAAATACCTATAAGAAATAATTTTAAAGATGTTTAATCTAACCTCTCGTCAGATTATTAACTCTGATGTTACTGCCTTGTGATAAAAATAAAGCATACAGCGTGGATGCATGGAACCCCTTTAGTATTATAGTCACCAATAATAATGTACTGAGGGTGAAATAATATGAGATGTATGGGGTTCATATTACTCATCACCAGTTTCATATCTCACAGTGAAAGAGATGCACAGTACAGTATGGTAAATTTCGTGGTTAGCTTTGTGTTTTTCTTTTTCCCTGAACCAAACTCTAATGTATTATAAGTGTGTTTTCTCTGAGCTGGCTACCTGTGTGTTGTCGTACAGTACATACATGAATGCTGTATATGAATTACAAAAATGAACTGCCCTTCTTTTTCTTGATTTGGCTAATGTCTTTTGGATACTTTAATAATTCTCAAATTGAGCTCTGTATTAATATATATATATATATATATATACCCTACCTTCAATAATTGTTAAAATGACTAAAAAATTTAATATTAAACTTTTAAAATGATTGAATAGTATAAACTTCTTGATATTTACTAAAAGGGTAAGGAATTTAAGCCCTAGAACCGATTACTGTATTGGTGGACCGCCAAATGCAAGCTAAAACATGTGGAGGTCAGCTCGTAAGAAACTCGTTAATCGAGGAATTGCTCGTTAACCGAAGTTAAGAATCTTATGGAAGGTAACTCGTTATCCGAGGGACCACTGTACTACTCTTGCCAAGTCTGCAAATATGGCTGACTTGAGGGCAATACAGTCATGAATTGTAAAGTACCCTTGGATTGGCTAACAATCCAAATGTTGAGGGGAAATAAATAAGTAGGCAGCCATTGCATCAAGTAACATCATTATGACATTAGCTGGGATATCTTCATTGAGTGAGTAAAAACAGATCCTGAATTATGTTTAATTTTAACTGGAATGAACCCTTTGACTGCACAATTTGGATTTGCCCCATGTGCAAAAGAAAAAAAAATCCTTGAATAATAATTCTTTAGCTTAAAATTAATTATAGAGAAACCAGCAGGTTATTCACTAAGAAGTAAAAAGTAGCAATGTAAAATCAACACATTGTTACCTGTATGAAACAAATGAGATGAAGGTGCATGACAATGGAAACTAAAAACAAATAAATCCATACAAATAAAATGTTTTACATACACTATACTTATAAAAAAACATTGGTAAGGACTTTACTCACCATTTCGCGCTGTGAACAGTGGTGTGGTGATATGTTGGTAAGCTGGCGGTATTGTGTGTAAAGTGACATGGGAGATGAGGACATATTGGTGGCAAAGGCACAAATAAGGCCTCTGAGCAGCTGGGGGAAGTCTCAGTAAACCTGGGAACATGACATAAACAGCACAGAAACTTAAAATATTAGAGGAAAAATTCAAGACTCATAAGTGGGTTTGTTCACTTACCTAGAAAAGCCTCCAATCTTGGCCCAGAGCATTGCAAGTGCAGAGTTCAGACCAGAATACAGTACACAGACAAGGCAATAAAATGTTTCCAAGAGTGATACCAGAGAAACCAATTTTTTTTTTAGCTCGTAAGTGTATTGTCTAGATTCAAAAAGTTAAATAATAGGAAGTAAGAAAGACCCACATTAACATAGGAATTAAACAATGTACAATTCACAACTGAATTTTTTATTACTGAAATATAAGATACCAATTAATAATGTAGCTCCATTTATTATACATATACAGCATTTGGTATTTTCCATTTATTCACTTTTCACTGTTAAATATCTTTTAAAATCACTGGTCACTTCTATATATACTATCCTTGAGTAGTGTATATTATCAACAGTGACTAGTACAATACATTAATACAGTAATACAAAAGCTTTTAAAAAACTTTAGCAAAAATAACTACATGAAAATAGACTGAATATGAGGTCTCTGAATATCACAGATGTATTCTAGGAGACAATATTTGTGTTGTTATGTAAGGGAAACTAAAGCTGTACAACACTTTGGTAGCTTGATAGGCTAAATAGCATCATCAGGAAAATGTAAGTACAGTATGGTTAAAAAATATTAAGGATATCAATTACAGCGCTAAGAAACCACAATAAATATTTACCCTGTACTGTAGTGGGAAAGAGCTTATAATTCACATACGGTACCTTACTGAACAGGCTCTCTCATGACTTTTCATATCACCGAGTACGGTAATATCCCATATCTAATTCCCACTAAGTAGTAACAATGATTATGAACTAATATACTCATCATCAGTAAAATATAATAGGTACCATCTTGATCAAATAGCTACGAATCAAAAGGCACTAGGAATGAAAGCTTTGGCCATTGCAAGAATAGGAGCACCTGTAGGGATACCAGGGAATGGCCCTGAGGAGCCGGCAATGTCCAGGTGTGAGTACTTCAGTGACTGATTACTGTCCTTGCCATGCTGCAATGGAAGATAAGTCAAATCATTAATTCATCACATTAAGCAAACTTTGGTCGGATTTTTGTCTGACACTTCTTTCACAGCTCCAATTAATTTCTATACTTCTTATATCAATATCCCATTCACCCCTAAATAGTGGTTTCAAGCACATCATAGGTTTACAGAAAAATTAAATGTTAAATATTTCAATTTCATAATTTCCTGCTCTCCTACCAATAATATGTTAATAGAATAACTCACCTTGTCAAGACCTGAAGCCATAACAAGGAAGGCTGAAGGACTCTGGTGTCCACGAGGTGTGCGTGAGGATGGTAAGTTGTTACACTGCAGAACATCCTCATACTCGCTCTTCCCACAATGGAAATCATAATCCTCTCGGCGAATGGATGATATCTAGAGAAATAATTGTGATGATTTATGATTTTTTGTGTTTAATATGAAAGCTCCACTTTTATCTGCAAAACTCAATTCTTGTGATTAACATATCCTGTACAGTATTGTAACAAGTGACATAGTTTAAGGGAAAACAAATAGCAAAACCAACTACTGTATGCAATGAAAAATAAATCACTGTTACAAAAGCTGAAATTTACTTCACACTTGGAAAATCTTGTTACAAAAAAGTAGGGAGTATCAGTTATTTTACCCCTTGAGGAATACTTATTGTATCTTCCCTGGGGCGTTTCCAATTAATTGAAGGATCGGTATTATGAGATTATTTTAGTGGGCACTACGGACAGATGTATGAACCCAAGCACAAAGTAATGCCATGGTTATTGCTAGTGCCGAGCCCTCAGTTTCTTGGACAGATAATAAGAACTAGTACTGGTTAAAGATCTACTTATGTAATGTGTATGCAAATTATGGGAAAGTGTGTGTGTAGGTATATGTTCTCTTTCTTGTCACTTTTAATACTTGTCTTCTATCACACTCCCATAAAACATTTTCTGTCTATAAGTTTTCTATACTCTTTGATTCACTACACAAAAATATCAGACAGGAGTAAAGATATCATACAAACAAACTTCCAATACTTATATTTCTATGATACTTAAAATGTACACTTACCTCAAAGGGATCAGCAACTTGTTCCCCAGCAGCCTGCAAGGTCTGAGACATGCTGTTAATCTGGGCTGGGCCATTATCCATTACGGCTGTGTATGAATCCCCATAGGCAAGTACACAGTGACCCGTGAGTGTTGCAATGGTCATCAGATATGGATTTACCTGTCAAGAGGATTTTTTCATATTATATATTTAATTATCAACCATTTTATATTGAGGGTTCATTATATGTTAAACCTCCATCTAATGGATTATATAGAGAAAAAAGTCTGCTATATGGAGGTTTCACTGTAACAACTATCAACTTTGCATAATGTTTTAATGACATCAATGAAGTACTAAGTGGTTTCAGTCACAAATTTGATCATCTACTGTATTTTCCTCCTCTTGTAGAACACTAGTACAGTACTGTCCAGGTAAATTATAGGTATGTACAGGGTATGTTAATTACGGCTGTAGGATGTCATGGAAGTGATTATAATGTTCACCCTCTAATTTAACTAATATGGCCACACTATACTGTACTGTAAACTGTATGTAAATAACTATTATTCAGTTTAATATTCTCTTCTCAATCTATTCACATCATCATACCATCAGTGTAGGAATATTTGACTTACTTCCTTGCCAGCCATTTCCTTCATGTGGCACAGTACATCAGCCATAGCCATTCGACCCTCTGCATCGGTGTTGCCAACTCTTACACGGACTCCAGCACGAGAAGTGATGATCTCGTCTGCTACATAGCAATCTGATCCAACACTGTTTCGTACCATTGCCATTGATCCAATCACCTGATTTACAGTACAAGAGGTGTGTTTAGAATGAATTAATTAAAATGCTGTTCTAAAAGTATTTTTTTTTAGTCTACTTTCAATAAATGCCAAAGCACTCTGAACTTAATCTTTTTATGCAATGATGAATTGACTTGGCATTAATACCTTTATATTTTGAGGTTGAAGCTTTGTTAGAATCTGCATGAATCCAGCCACTGCAGCTGACCCACACTTATCCCTATGCATGCCAGCCATGATGCCACCAGCCTTGATATCTGCTCCACCAGTGTCATAAGTGACTCCCTTCCCAACCAGCATGAGGGTTTGCTCAATTGGTCCTGCACCTTCGTACGTCAGGTAGATCACACGGCCCTGGTGACGAGGCACCCCTGTTGGACCACAGGTAGTTCTACATCAATTCAGACACTTATGGGATTTAGTAGATTACAGTCTTTAATATTAATAGTAAATGATACATTGATAAAACTCCAGGCTTCAGCTGAAGCCACTGAAATCTGACACCTTTCATGACCACAATAGAACATTTTAAAGCTGTAATAATAAGTCAAGTGGCCATAATAGATCTATTATAGTCACCCTCAACACAAGGACTTTGGCCCTCAGGCCATTCCTGAGGGAGGTTTCTACTTCAAATCTTTTTTGAGGACTTGACACCCTAAGAGATAGAGGCTACCAGCCATGCAACAGACTCATTAACATACCTTTGGCACATCTATTAACAGCAGAAAATAATGGGTAATCTTTGCAGAGTTTGGCATCATCTGATACTACTTCAACAGATACTTTTGTTCCTCGGAAGACACTTCTCACATATTCTTCAACCCTCGGTGGCGCCATGCGCTCTGGATCAGATCCCCCAATATCACGGGCCACAGATCTAGAATATTGACCAAAACATATCTGACAATAAAACTGCATATTTAGGAGTCTTCATTTCTTAATGCCAAGAAAATATTTCTACTTAAAAATAGTTTACTGTACATTGTATACTGTATTTCTAATTATATTTTGAAAAACAAAACAAAACAAAGATAAAACAGATTATTTCATTAATACAAACCTTCCACTCTCCAGGGCAAGAGCCAATTGAACTGTCTTGTTGTCACCTAAGAAGCCAAGTACAGAAACCTTTGATGCTTTTGAGGGTACATCTTCCCTCACCTAAAATATGGAAATAAACTTTGATGCAAAAATAAAAAAATGGATATCAATAATCTCATATAATTTGTTATTTAGTATCGTGTATGTGAATTCTGTGGCAAGTCTTATCGTTTTTTACAAGTTCTAATAATGATTTTTACAATAAGTATCTCATACTAAACATGTTACTCTAATTTAAATGTAATATATGTACAGTCGGGGACAAAAGTTCGCTCCTCGTTGTGAAACTGATTCACGGAAATAAGTCTCGTTTGGGGATGATCCTGCTTCATTTTGGGAGGGAGTGAACTTTTGAGCCCAACTGTACAGTACTGTACAACAGACAAATTCCTTAGAAAAAAAAAAATCGTATTTATCTACCTATTATCTTTACAACTACAGGTATCCTTCGTTTAATGATGGAGTTGCATTCCTGAAAACCTAACATAAAGTTAACTTATTGCAAAATGAAGGATAAGTGGGGATGCAGCTTAATATCAGATACATATTTTAGTAAAGCCCCAAAATATCCATAAGTATTACTGTAATTCCATGTGAGTTGTAACACCACTCTAACCAGTCCCCACCACCATTACCACCACACCCCAAGTCAAAATTGCCATCAGTACCACCAATACTATCATCACTGCATGTCGTCTACTCGTGAGTTTGTTTACAAAAAATGAAGATTAGTGAACTGTAACTACTGTGTCCAAAGCTGAAAGTAGTATAGTAATAAAAAATTTAATAATTTACTGATAATTCAAGGGTCATTAATTAACACTAATTAATGAAATTTCTACATTCTGAATCCAGATCCTTAATCAGCATATAAAAGAGTACCTTTGTATGAGATTTGAATAAAATCTACATCATGACCTCATGTGCCGAAACACATGGTAAAAGGTCGGGCATTTTGATTGTGACTAACAGCTTTCTTCTGTACTGTACTCATAAATATATAATACAAGATATGTAGAGTTGAATGGAAGGACTTGATTCTAGCAGTCATGGATCAACATCAAGTCTAAGAGCCAACAGTGTACAGTAGTTATAAACAATGAAAATATCCAGCAGGTTGATCATTTGGCTTAAAATACCATTAAATCTGACACAGTGATTAACTAAATTCACAAAATAAGGTGGCTGAGGGTACTGTGCTGAGTTGTCATAGATAAGATAAGACTGACCATGTTAGCTATTGTACCCATCATTATAGAGGGCTCCTTTATCTTTTCCTGTAAACAGGTGGAGTAAGTCAGGTCTGTAGGAAAACCAGCAGTCGAGAGTATCATTCACCAATTTACAAGTGGCCACCTTGATCTCTGGAGCGCATCTCCCTCCAACACCTGGCAAGACTACCAAGAAGAAGTGAGAAGAATACACACATAAGCACATTCTTCTTACCTCAATAGGCACATACAAGGCATGGAGAGCTCCTAGTAGCGTAATAAGGTCAGCATGTTGAAAGCTCTGGTCTGGTGCACGAACAAGTAGTGGGCGTTTCATCCCAACTTTCAATGCTCTGGAAAAATTGGCAGCTTAATTTATGTAATTAAAACAAGATAGTTCAAGCAGAAATTCTCTCATCATATTTCTATTGTATGTCTTTATGTAAATAAAAAAAGCCTATATATGCAGTTTCAGAATACAGATGATATTATATTCACATATTAATAGCTTGATAACTGCTACAACAATAATGCAAAAAGAATGTTATATTTTTTTTAAATTATGCTGTGCATGACAAAGAAAATGCAAACAATGTTATCTAAAATCATATTTTATTTAAACTGTTTAAGTCTTTAGTTACAAAATACAATAATACATATAGTACTGTACTAGTTATTTTACCCTATAACATATAGGTAAATCCTTAAATAGTTGTCTGTACTGTACATGAAAAAATTACATATGTACGGAAAACCATTTGTATCGTACAGTATCAGTGTATAATCAAGAAAAAAAAAAACCACCGACCTCTTAATTCCAGAAGCAGCAGCATCTGAAAACCTCCGCACATCATCATAGTCACGGTTGAGAAGCCCAGTTGGTGCATAAACTAAACGGTTCGCTGGGACATTTACACTCACACAAGCGCCATCTTTTGCCAAAGACTCATCTATATGATAGAAATATTGAACATTACAGATTTATTTAAAGGTTTAATATCTTGATAAAGTATCTCCCGATAAACTGCAGGATATTTACAGGTCAACTTAACATATGGGTAAAACAAACAACATGCACCATTAAACTATTTGCCTTCAATGAAAGGAGACATTAAGTGGCAGTTTTCTCACGAGTTGTCACAGATCATTAATAGATGACATGTTATTAAGCAAAAGTTAATCACATGAGTTTCTGATCTTGTTAGGTTTCATCCACAAACTGAGTTTCACCGCAATCTATTTCTGGTTGTCCAGGTTATTAGACAGGTACTACTGGGTAACTTTATTTTCCCAATGCTTGCTTCAATGTGACAAGAAGAAAAAAGAAAAAATACATTTACTCACCAAAGGCAGCCTGAGCTTGGAGAGGAGCCAGAAGGACATTCAAAGACCCTTTCAGTTTATCCAGTGAGTCTGTCACCAAAATAATGCCATCATAACCAGCGGCCGACAGAGAGGACTCGGCCTTCACCTCACAGGGAACCCTGAGGATTTACAAAAATTTAGTACCTGGACTGTATTTCAATTCAGACACAAGTCTCATTTCAACTACAGCACTGTTTAACCGATAGTTTCAAGTCCCTACTTCTCTTTAAGGAGAGAAAAACAAAAAGCAAAAACATTTTGTTTTGTCAAGGAACCAGCAAGATTTTTTCCAAAACAAGTTATTAATATAATACAAGCTCAAGTCATGACATCAATTCCTGTACCACTGACTTGTAGTACAAACTACAGGTAACAACTTTTCGTTAACCATAAACATAATTATCAAACTTACTAGATCTCTGCATTCAATACTTTTGTGGTCAAATGGATAAAGGTCACAGAGGTCATAAGTCTAAACACAAACCTGGTGTACACAGCATGGGGCTGGCCCTCTACTGAGAGCTCTAGAATTTAAATCCTACACTTACCAACGAAACAGGTAACTCAAGAAAATGTACCAATATAAAATAAAACAAACAATACCTTTTGTCAGCCATGCTCAGCCAGAGAGGGTGGAGGGGATGTGAGTTTGAGTGCAGTCAAGATAACTGAAGCTGGGGCCTCAACCTCCCTGACAACAGTCTCTAGTTGCCAACTATCAAAACTGCCACAAATTGTACAATCAGCTGCATTTTCTACCATCAACCAATGGACTTACTTTACTGATTTAGTAAAATGTACAGTAAGCCTTGTAAAGATAACTACTTTCAGGTTTTAAAAATAAGAATGAAATGTAAAGGCAAACAACTGTCTCCCCATCATTCTCAAATTACAAATTACATTTGGCATTTTTCCCATAATGGTTAATGATTCTCTTTATTCTTAGTATGGTGGAAGTGTGAAACAGAAATATGCATCATCATGGTATTGCTTCATCATTTGTTATTATGTATATCTTTACAGGATAGATTATGTAATGCATGCCAAGCTCTTGTTTTTGTTGAAAAAGATAAAATTGTTTATAAGGGATGAATAATTAAATAACAAACTTAAAAACTTATCTTACAGTACCAGTAATGACCTGAGTGGTAAGGCTTTCATTAAACCACCCACTTTGGTGGTGTCTCTCTCATTTATTATTACCTGCACTGAACAGTGCTGTATAAATTCAAATTTTGAAATGAGCATGTCATGATTTTTTCATCAAACAAATTTAAAAAAAATCTCAGCTATTATGTATTTCATCAGCATTCTCTGTTATATAAAAAGCATGATTTAATACTGCTTGTAAAGTCAAGTTCAAAAATCGAAATGAAGAGTACCTTAGGATGAAGCAGTGTGCAGATTTTTTTTTATTTTTATTACTGGTACAGTATATCATACAGTAGTATGTATAATTACTTATGAGAGGTATGGAACCTAGATTACAGTTTTGAAAAAAATAATAGTTTAGATCAGGGGTTCCCAAGCTTTTTCTAGCACGACCCCATCCAGTGTTGTCAACTATCCAGTGCGACCCCAAATCATTTCACTGGCAGACCCAAAGGACCCCAGTGACCCCACCGACCCCATGACCTCTTTGCGACCCTACCTAATGAGCCTTCCGACCCCATTTGGGGTCGCGACCCCAAGTTTGGGAACCCCCAGTTTAGATGGTATTTTTATGTAAACAATATAAAGTTACACAAATAAATGCAAGGATACATAAAAAGCATAAATTTACATTCTTCTGTACTCATCCATTAGGCATACAAATACCCTTTTCATTGCACATGCTCACACATCTGTTCCTGACATCCCCCATGTCGTATAGCTACATACCCATCAGAAACTTCTGTACCCAGATCTCTTCAGAGTTTCATCATGCATTCATCCAATGGCCCCTGGTTTCCTTTGATGATTCTTGCCTTTTCATTCGCCGTCCAAATGTTATCAAGCACGGAAGATGATAGCATCCTTCTACAGCTATTAAATCACTAATTTTGGATAACCTTGTACTTATAAATGGGTCAGCTGCTGCATGCCAGATTAGGTCTGCAGACTTTTTGAGAATTTCCACTCTGTGGACCTAGTCTGACTTCTGTGTTTGGCAAAACATGCAGAGTAACCAGTCAATTGGTGGCAAAGAGCTGCATCATGTGGCTGGTGCAGAGCTGCTTGTGTTACTGTTTTATAAAATTTTGGAGTGAGGAGAACTGGGAGAAAACAGAAACGGGGTAGAGTACTAGTTTAAATTTATGGCTATATGGGGAAGAGAAGGGGTTCACTAAACCTGGGAGAGTCCCCCCTCTTAGCTGATCCCCTGAACTAAAACAGTCAAGTACCTGTACTGTATTGTATTAGATGTTCATTAGGAAAGCAGATATTTGTAACATGTGACTCATACAGCTCTTCCACTAATTAGCTACCATATCAAGTTTCTGACAAGGTATTCATCCCAGATAAACAAACCATGACAAGTACAAGATAAGAAAGATTATGAGTACAGTATGTCAAAGAAGCTACCAAATCAGTTTCTAAACACAGGGCTGTTATTTGTGGTCAATGAACCTTGAGCAATAGAAACAGGTTATCAAAATACCCAGCAAAGCTTGTTTAACCTGTTTGAGTGGTGTGGATAGAAGCAACAGAGAAAAAATCAATGCACCAGTATCCCATATCTTCTGTATATACAGTACTGTATTTTATACATCTTAATAATTTTCTTCTTCATCACAATATAATAAGCAAAGTACTGTATCTATTACAGAACACAGGTAATCAAGTCTTCATCTAATTTCTACAGCAGTGAAGGCAGTAAGTTGTCTAACAAAGATCTATACACTCAAGGTCAAGAGGTGGTGATATTGGCTCTCAACACACCATATCAAATTAAATCTCAACTCACATCAACATCTGTATTTTTATCTTAATCAAGGGGCACTGATAGTAGTGCACTGATAGTAGTCTGCTACCAGATACCGTACATAAATTCAGAGTAATGCAGGTACAGTATACTGTACACAGTTCAGCATGTATTTAGACAATGCAGATAGTACCGATATACAATTCAGTATGTATAGTATAGTATATAGAGAACGTAGGTACAGCACGTATACAGTTCAACATGTATAGAGACAACATGGTCACTAAATACTGTACCTCTGTGCAACTTTCTACTCGCATGACTTCAACTTGGAAAAAAAATCCTGAAAAAATATTAATAAAGGAACATAATGATGTAAGCTTGTATCAATTAATCTTATCAATGTTATTTTATTTTAATGGGCTTTTCCAATTTCTCTTGGTCAATAAAGTATGACTGTCTACTTTTAAAAACAAGGCAATTGACTTTGAAAAAACTCTTCAAATACGATCCACATGCAGTTCATTGATCAAATGTTGGTGCTTTTATAAGAGTGCACGGTATTTTACCTCGTCAAGCATACTTTACCCATATTTGAAGAGGAAACAAAAACAGTCAGAAAATTATTGCTTTTGTTTTTTGAGAACAAGAAAGGTAGCCATTACCTAAAATTTTTACCTTGGAAACAACAGTTGTAACGTACGTGTCTATGGTTGTAATGCGCATTTCTACAATTGTAACGCATGTATCTCTACCAATATGTCAAGGGTTCGAGCCTCGGCCCGGACACATGTGAGAAGAGTGTTATCTAGTGTGACCCTCACTACCAAACATCACAGTTTCCTCCTGTACTAACACTGGATAGACCAACCACTTGAATGGCTAGTAAGCTGATAAGCGGAGAAAATTAAAAGAAAAAAAAACAGCAACTATTTAGTAAGTGTGTATAATGTAATATTAAAATAAAGCCAGTTTTGAAGATAATGTACCTAAGCAACATAATACTCAGGAACAAGGTCCTGTGTTAACCTGCAACTTTATACAATTTTCATATCGAAAATAATTTTTTCTTACGCCAAGAATACCCCAAAATTGGTGGAGGAATTTTAATTTTCTAAAATTATTTTCCCTAAATCTTATTATAAATAAATACGCTCCATCTTCCCAGTGATGCCATGTTGACTGCGAGAAGAGCATGGAATGTTTCACAGACAGAAACATGCAAATGCTTCCTAGCAACCATTCTATCTATACACATGAACACTACAAGTGCGGGTGACCATCAGGTAACATTAGTTAAATAACCTACCTATTATAGTACAGTGTTGCAGACTTTGTTTTAGAGTAAGTTAGGTTAGGTAAGTTATAAAAAAGTTGCTGGGAAGTGTTTGTCAATAGCTATAAAACAAAACAAGGTATCGTCTAATTGATGGAGCGTATTTACCTATACTACAGTAATAGAAACTAATGGAAAAACAAATTTATGAAAATTAATTATTTCACCTGTTTTAACATATTCTAGAATTAAAAAAGCAGTTACCGGTATAGAAGTAGGTTAGTCATCAAAATTAACCACAGACAGATAGTTAAGTATTATCTATAATTTGGGGATATAAACAAGATTACAAGAAATAAAGTAGTGGAGGTCTTCATCACATTTACAGGAAAATAATTACCCATATTAGCCTCAAAACACCGTCAAATAAATATGGTCATTTAATGGACTCACTTTTTTTTACCTTTCAATCTGTCATCGTGATTCTCAATTATTTCAGGAATTAAATGAACTGCAGTTTATGATAAGTCATTGTTAAAGAACTAATACTGCACTTTACAGTACTTGATCCTCATCACTTGCATAACAATTAGGGGCCCCAACATACTTCTTGTTCCCTTCATAATAGGGTAATTTCACGATATACTGTACAATATATATAATAATAAAGTAAACCAGCTCCTACATCAACCATAACATAATCTTAATTCTGAGTACGATTTTATGACCTTAATTACAGATACATTGTGGTAAAATACACAATATATAAATACCTTTGGGTACTCATGTTGCTCTCAACGTATGGAGGAGGTGAGGTGACTGAGGGAGACAGACGACGTCACGTCCACGGGCAGGTTGGGGGAAGTCATGATGATATGTTTTAGTAGTTAGTTTAGTTAAGTTTAATTTCAGCAGTCGAGAGGAAAACAATTGCTTACTAAGTGTTTCTTACTTTTAGCGTGTTACTTTTTGTCATAAAACTTGGCCCTGAATGATGTTTTACAGTACTGTACTTGCAAAGAACAGTTTCATTGTTATGATTTTCTACTATCCAGTTTTTACATAATTATGTCCGGAGTTATACCGCATGGTGTACACGATGAACAGTTAGAATATTAGGTTCTTAAATTTCGTTGTGCAATAGCATTCTATACTGCAAATATTAATAACAATGTACAATAACAAATCTATATGCTGCTCATTTGCCTCAAAATTGGCTAGAAATTGTCCAATTTTGATCATAGTGATCGGCTATTTTCATGGCTATCGGCCATAAATTTATTCCGGCTAAATTAAGCCGAAAAATGGTTAATTTGGCAAAATGCAGCCAAAATAATACTGTGTCAGTACTAAATTATAGTCGGTTATTTTTTCCTTTACCTTTATCCTCTTCACCACTGATGCGGATTATTTGGGCGAGTTTTATAATAATGTATTGTGAAATGTTATGCATCGAGCGACGGCAGTTGCCGATTTCCAACACTATATATTTCGTGTGAAATATGTTTTAATATTGTGGTACTCAATATTAAAGTTTATGTTATTTTGATTTCCAGATATTTTTCCATTACCCGAGAATCTTGAAAATTTCATATCTAAGAAGTTTTCCCGACTAACAGACAATTTAGACAGGTATTTGCAGGATCCACCATTACGAGAAGACAGGTCCTGCAGCAGGTCCTTCAACCCCTGTTTTGGCCTCCAGGCACTATACATCCTTCACCCTCCGTACTTTTAAATTCGGTAAGTACGATGTTAATTACTTAGAACGACTATAAAACGTTGACAACTGCCAAATTTATACTACAGAATACTTTATACTTTTCGCCAATGATTTAATTTTAAACTCAGTTGATTGAATTTGTCCAGTTTGCCCGGACAATTGTCTAAACTCGTGGGGAGGGCAACCACCAGGCGCCAGTTCCAGGTATGAACACAAGACTGAGCAATGTACTCTGAGTATTTATAGGTTTTTATTGTCACCCCCTATCCGCCTATAGTATAAGATAGGCAACTGCAGGCGTTCAAATCTCTCTGGATATCAGAAGTGCCACAGCTTGGTGGCTTTATTCTGGACATTTTCCATCAAGTGATAGTCTCTCATACACAAACATATCTCAGGGACCAGGGTGACAATACTCCATGGGACATGTTTGGGTTTCCTTGGTTCTGGTGATGTGTCTCTTGAGAACCATTCAAGTTGGCCAGAGTGGTAATGTCACTGTCATTGGGTATAGTGTTTATAGTGTCTTGGAAGTCTTTGCTCTTGCGCGTTTCTTCACGAGTTCTTCCTCGTATGGCAATATCACCAAATAAATAAATATCTACTGTATCTGGTTTTGAATTAGTTGGTGACATACTCGAAGAAAACGAAATATTACTTGTAGTTTCCCATTTTTTCTAGTAATCTTCCAGCTGATTGGTGAACTCGTCCGCCAGCTCTCGGATCAACCAATCAGAACTCTGTTAACAAGGGCCGACTCACTTTGACGTAAACAAACTTTGCAATCGTCAGCTGACGTGTAGGACGGCTATGCAATATTTGAGCTCTAGGGTGTTGTGAGCGTCTGTGAGGGCCTTTACCACCAGGAGGGAGTGTGTTAAGGATGCAGAGCGTGGGGACCCAGCTGGCGGTGGGTGTTTTTGCCCTTGCTGCCTGGTTTTGCCTGTACCTGTTGATTGCAACTGCACTGCGCATGTGGACACGGACTAGTCAACTCTCTCACGCCCACCGCGCCCACATCACAGAGAGTTTTGTCTCTGGCGTGCAGGGAGTTGCTTGTGCAATAGTGGGCTTAATGACTGTGATAGCTTGCAGGCATGATGTTATGGGTGAAAAATTTCCCCTAGTAGTTTACTATTCTTCAGTTGGAACTGCTTATTTCATTTATGATCTGTGGGCAATGTACAAGAGTCACATTGCTAAGATAAGTGCTGTGAGTGGTGTGATAACCTGTATGGTGTCTTATTTGAAAAAAGACTTCTTGATGATTGTGCACCATCTCACCATCACATTCCTGCTTTTCCCTGCTGTTATCTACCATGCCCCAATGGGAGATTTCTTCACAGGGTGTTTCTTTTGCTTAGAGCTCTCCACGCCCTTTGTCAATGCTCGAGTTATACTCAGTCGCCTTGGATACAAGAATTCAAAGATATATGTGGTCAATGGGTTGTTAATGATGACTGTTTTTGCAATGTGTCGTATTGCTCTGTTCCCCATAATGTATGCAGCATACTTGAGCCAACAGACGAGTGCACCTTCACATATCCATGCCTTAGCCTCTATACCAATGACATGTCACGTGTGGTGCCTCCTGGTCTTAGCGCCTCAGCTCTACTGGCTCGGATTGATGGTTAAAGGAGCTATGGTTGTAATGAAGACAGAGTCATCTGCAGAAGACAAAGATGACTGATACAGGTTAAACATTAGTATAGGACTAACTCTAGTCACATTTGTATCTATACAACAAGAGACATTAAAGAAGACTCTCTTGCACTATATTTTTTAATTAACTTAAATTTGAAGTATTTTTATTCCATGTTAAATAAATTAAGCCTATAGTTGATACACAAAACCTATTAAAGAATAAGGGTATAGAACTCAGGTTTACAAAATTTAGTTTTTACTGAATTGTTCTCTGAAAACAGTCTTGGAGCATTCATCAGTAACTGCTTGTGTACATTAATTAAAAGAATATGAAACTAACCACAATGGTGGATTTAAACCCTTATTCCACCTTGCTAGAATATAGGGCCATTGAGACAGTGATTTAAATTTACTGTATTGCACTTACTGTACTTGAAAAATCTGTTTTTGTCAGTAAATGCCTTCTCTAGGTACTTATTAGCATCCATTTGTAGATGAAAGTTTAAAGTCTTTGATAGTCATGATTTATTACACCTTGGCCAGGATTTGTTGTTTAATATTGTGAAGAAAAAGATGTGTCATGTGCAATACATTGTCAAAACCTGTAGCTACATTGTTGTATGGACACATAGGACCTTATATGATTGAAGATAAGAAACTGGAGAAGTTGAATTAGTTGATATTGTTGAAGATGTACAAGTTTACTGCCAGTTATATATTTATACAATAGATTCAAGCACGGAACTGGCACTATAGATATCATGTTTTCCATTATTTGTCACAGTACAGTAGGTATATTGAAATTTAATTTTGCAGTTGATTTATTGGTTAAATCTTTAGGAGTTTTCAGTGTTTGTGTGTTTATCAAATGTAGATTTGCTAAGTATATTCACTCGTATATGGTTGGTATATTGAAAAACAGTGGAAAGGTTAACAATTTATATTACACGTAATAACTTCAAATTTTCTATTGTTTATTGTATATGAGTAATTGCTGTATTTGGAAGTTTATTGATTGTCACATAGTTTTTTGTTGTTACGTACTAATATTTCTGTCAAGTTATGCATCACATATTATTTTAGTTATCATTTGTGTTATTTTCTCCTTGGTTTGTAACAATGATTGTAGTGTGCAGTATATACTTCTTCTTTTATAATTGAAGTGTTTATTTGTAAACCAGAAATTAATTGTTTTGCTTCTTAAATTAGATCACATTATGGAGATGTTACCAAGGAATAGTATACCTAGTGTGTTATGTCTTACTTAGAAATATGTAATGTACTATATATAATTTTGTTAACACAATACTTAAAACTTATTAACACGTGTCACAAAATATTTATTAACTCTGTTCAAGTTTTATTCAGATTGGAATGTATATCTGTAGTTTATCTACAGATGTATACTGTAGGCATGTGAAAAAGACACTTGTTGTAGCTAGTTGGATGTTCATGTTAGGCATACCTTGAATTTTCTTGGCAAATTTTTACTTTATTGGGTGTATAAGTTTAAAGTTTCATTTTTTGTTTTCCTAAATTTTGCCTTATTTTTTATGTGTTAATTATACAAGAAGTAGACCATTTGTTTTGGGTCACTGGAGGACTGTGTATATCTTGGTGCAGTATTAAGGTGCCTCAGTAACATCTTGAACCAAACATCCCAAATAGTATTTTTCTTGAAATATTTTTTATTCACAATAGACATTATCCAATAATATTGGTCACAAGTAAGGTGAAACTTTCCTCATTTTAAAAAGTATCCCACATTTTAAGAACCTCTGGTTAACATGAAAGAAAATTTTACATTTAACTTTCATACATGAACAATGCTCATCTACATCAACAAAAACAGATATTTTAAATTAAGTATGTACTTCAATATTTTTAACAGGTGTGTGTAATTTCAAAGCAATTGTTCTGGCACATCTCTTGCCAAATTTGATCCAGGAGATAATGGGCTGTCCTCACTTGGTCTTCAGGAAATGAATATTTATTAACTAATTGTTACAGTGAGGAGTACAGTTCAGTAACAGTAACATTCTTTATCCCTCAATAAAAAATTGTCAGTTGGATGGTATTATACTATACCTGTATTGGATTCTGTGTTGTCGAATTTATATTTTCAAGTTTCCTTTAAGTTTTTAATCACTTATGCTAGAAAAATATGATATGGTTATTGAGGATTGAATTCAGTAAATAATATTTTAAACAGTAAGATTATACCAGTACCATACTGTACTGAATATAAAGAAGACAAGAACAGTGTGCATGTGTGTACAGTATAATTTTGCTTACAAAGAAGTTCTAGAGAGGATCTAATAGTTTTTCATACATATTCACTGATTGATCTCTTGCATCTGCATTCCAGTTACAGTAGTGGGGGATTGAGCATCTTTAGGTAGTTTTCTGAATATTTATTTAAATCTGTGTGAGCAATAGACAATTGTATTTTTTTTTTTTATCTGCATTTGTCCTACAACTTAATGTTAAATCTGTTTGTTTATTACCTTGCATTTTTCCACCCGAGGCAATGTTGGCCACACAAAATATTTCCCAAATATCTCGGTCATTTATCAACCCTATATGGATTTTTTTTTTTTTTTTTTACACGGGAATTAGCCCACCCGGGCACAGATCGAACGACCCACAATGGGCCTAGGGGGTGAAAAAATAAGAACAGAAATAAATTAAAAATAGAGAAGAAAAGGGTTATACAGTCGACCCTCATTAATTCGGACTAATAGGGGAGGAAAGGGTGTCCGTTTTAGCCGATTGTCCGAATTAACTGATTTAGGGGTTAATATTGCATGATATTGCATTATATTTCAAAGAAAATGCAGTGAGTTTGTCCTTAGCCTTGCATATGTCCGAAACTGTTTGCTTTTTAACACCATATTCGTCACAAACTCTAGCCACTGAAGCACCAGCCTCTAACTCCCCCTTGAAGACATGATGAAATACAAGGCTGAAAGATGCCTAATCACTGAAATATCAACGAAAATTGCAGGGCAACATAACACCGATACTCAAATATGGCGCTAAGTCAACAATGACTTGCTGTCTGGCGCGCGCCATCTTTCGGACAATCCCAGAACCAGAAATTTGATACGGACAGTCCCTCGCTTAGTTCAGATTTCGTCCAAATTATCCGAAATCCGGATTAAAGGGGTCCGAATTAACGAGGGTCGACTGTACTGTGTTTATCTACACCACGAAGACGCCGGAAAACCAGCTTTTTAAAGTGAGACATTGTATAAGTATGGAAACACAGAAGAAGGCAGAGCATTCCACAGTTTAGCTGTGTGAGGAAAGAAGGATGTACTATAACGGGTTATTCTAGTGTGACCGACATCCACAGAGAAACGGTGGGCACCGCAGACAAGACATGTGTTACGAGCCCACGGCCTTGCCGGCAGTACACAGGATGACAAATCCACCAAACATTGCTTTGGCGATTTAGGGGTCTTCACCTGTGCATCAAGATCTTTGTTTATTGGTGTAATATCTGTACTGAACAAGCTAGTGACTTTACAGCATATATTCAGAGCTCTGAAATTTGTTGGTTTGTCCAAACATCCTAAATATTGGATAATATCCTTCTTACATATGACTCAAGTCAGGGATCGAGCCCAGGTGTTATACAGTAATTGGTTTATACTGATGAGGTTTGTAAAAGGTAATAATAAAGGTAAACTTTTTGTAATTTAATATAGGTTTAAGTTAATTTCATTGTCCCAAAAGTTTGAAAAATTGCTATGTAAAATTATGTACAGGATCTTAAAAAAAATTATTCACCCCTACAAAACAATCTAGTTACTGTACTATACAGTATTGTATATGTCTGATTGAAAGTTATTTCCACTGGATAAAATTACAGGTTAAGTGACATCAATGACAGTGCTACAGTATACTATAGTATTTTAGCTCAACAGCTGCAAATAGTTCCCTTAGCCTTTGACTGCTCTCATGCATGTTGAGAAAATTACTCTCCTTTCGACGATGCAGTTAAAGCACATTATTTGTCATATAGTTTACATTCAGAGGTTGAAGAGAAGTACTGATGATAGTTGTTTGATATGTCTTAATGAGGGATGAACTGAATTTGATTTGAGTGTCGTCAAAGAAGGCAGTAGTTCAGTATGGTAACAGCATTCTAATAGAAATATATATTATTGTGGAAATAGGAGGGTGACAAGAAACTTTTGCATTCCATAAGATTGAATAGAATTTTTCTCAAAATATGAGTTGCACATCAGCTTGATGTCTTCAGTACAGTATAATGCTAAAACCTGTATTTATATTGTAATGTCAGTCACAAAAATTCGTGTAGTGTAGCATTTTTTACAAGACATCCTTATCAAAAAGTAAACACTAATTGGCTTTAAACAGTGTTTTGAATCACTAGACGATTAGGCTCCCAGCTTATTTCATCTTATGATTTAAATAATCTAATGATACCTGGAGGAGGTTAGGTTATATTTGGTTATGTCATATTAGGTTATCTGTAGGGTGGTTAATTTTAAGGCCAATCGACTTGGGGCTTCTTATCTTCAGGTGATGTGTTTTTTTATTACTGCACTGCACTGTACTGTAGTTGTGAATTGCTAACAACAATTATATATTTATACCACACTATGTATGTTGAGTCGCACCTGTCTATCCGTCCATCTGTACTACTGGAATGTACAGTACTGTACAGTACAGTGTTTTATCCCCAAAAAAAAAAATCAGGAAAATGTAAAAAAGTATCCACCATAGAGCAGTTATATTTTGTAGTTTATATATTTTCTTAGCTTAGGTGATTAGGTTTTCATGCTGTTTCACTAACATTTTCATTTTTCCTTAGTTTTGGGATTTTAAAATTTGTGGCCAGTGGAGGCATACCGTACGTGTTTTAAAATCACAGTCCCACATAGGGTCAGGTTATCAGGTGGAAGTACCCATTAATTAATATGAATTTTCCTGTAATGTGTGAATGTTTGTATTGTGGTGTCTATCATGTTAAATTTTAATAGAGTATTTATATATACGTATTAAAGAACAGATAATATATTGAGTGATATGAATTTTCTTTTAATATATAATCCCATTACTTAAATTTGCTGATAATTACCATGTCTCCTGGATCATAGATAAAAAGGAAATAGTGTACTGTGTGTGTCTGTGTGTGATACATTTTAGGTATAGCTAGTTGTGAAATAGCAATACTGTACATGTACAGTACTATACTGAACTGTGTTTTGTGAGTTTTACATTTGTCATAGTTATTTTAAACAGTAAGAGCTGAGCTTGATGTACCTTGCATTATTCATAAGAACATTATAATTACACATAATGAGGATCTGTTGTGCTGTTAGCTGGGGAGAACTTAACATGCATTTAGGCTGGAACAGGTAATAAATCCTATAGCTATTGTTTATGCAAATGGATACCACCTCAATATTTCATGATTATTAAATGAATATAGGTACTGTAATGTGATGTGATGTCTGTGCCAAAGATTTCTGATCATTTTTAGAAATACTATTTTGCCACATGATCTTACCATGGAAATGATGGAATGAGTGTTTCAGTTCGCACTGTACTTGTTACCCGGTACTCTGTATGAGTGTGGTGTAGTGCCTCAGGGGTGTGCTGCATCTGTCATGAGGTTCTTCATACAGTATTGTTGTGTACAGTTTCAGAGATAATTGAATTCTTATTGGTATAGGATGACTTACAGTACTGTATATCATGTTACTGGCCACGATGGTAAGACATTATTGGTGATATAGCTGAGCTTCCTGCTAATGAAGTTGTTCCTTAGTTCATTGTTTGTTGCTAGAGCTTTTTAATTGCATGTATAACATGGAACATATACTGTCCGGACATCGTTTTTAACAATTGATATAGAATATAAATACTGTATGTATACCAGTTTGACATGGGTTTGGGATTTGCGTGCCTTAAAGATAGTCTCAGAACTACAGGTAACAGATTATCCTGAAACATATGTCTTGAAAATGTCTCATTGTTAATAGTTCTAAGACTTTATTGAAGTTCAGTAGGCATGGGCCTTTCAATTGTGCTCTGTACTATATTAGAATTTGCATGCTTAAGTTTGGTTCAGTAGAGTATTACTGTAGTAATTGCCCTGTTGGGCCCCCCAAGGTAAACCTTTTGCTGATCTTGTGTATATGTTTATACACTACATATAAACATATATACACACACACAGTAATCATGCAAATGCACACAATAAGGAAATCATATCTTGGCTGATTAACTAAAACATTATGTAAATGAACCACAAATTTAATAAAGAAATAGATATTGATTGTATTTATTCAGTGGTACAGTATTTGAAATAAGAAACTCATAGATTCAATACTTAAGGTTTTGCACACCTCTTGTATTTTAAACACTGCAGCTAGTGAATATGAACACTCACTAAAAAATGGTTACACAGTTCCTTGTAAAAAAACTGAAATATTGTACTGTAGTTATATATTTTTCATCCAGTAAAATATTAAAAGTCAGGTTGTGGGCCACTACACAAACTTGCTAGTTTAACTTTGTTCAGTTCACTGTTTAGTATTTGGAGGTAAAAACTGAATAAAGCTGATACATAATATTTATAGTTGTACTTTCTATGTCATATACTGTACTGTACTAAAGTAGAAGTTATGTTACAGGATTTTCTGCCTAGCATGAAAAGTTTGCAGTGCAGCTGTCGTGTACTTTGTATAAGAATTATAGGTTATTAAGTGTGTGAACCTTACAGTTAAGTGTTCAAACAAACTCTTCTTCCTTCTCTGTGATAAATATTACTTTCCAGTGTTCAAGACCTTTTGTAAAGAGAAAGTAATCATAATTCAAGACACTTGTTATGATCTTTGTGGAGATGTAGATATTTTGCTACAATCTTTTGCATAATGACATTTGTGGCCATGTGTCTAGTCTGTTATACTAAACAGCAAGTCTAATCCATTGTTTTATTATCCAATTTGTTTGGTTATGAGATCATGCATGTCTTAATACTTGTAAATCATTCAATATATAATGTTGCATACCATGTTGACTGGTAAGCTTGATAAATGTCTGAGGAATATTTAAGTTTTTGGTTCCTAATGCTTTTAAATTAGTGAAGCTGCAGGATCGTAAAGGATTTTAGTTATAGATCGGGTTCTCCTGGAATGAGAAATATATACGTATATATATTTTTTTTAACCCCTGTAAGAGGGCCAAGGGGATAGTTTTATCATGGACATTATTTCTCTGGGGATTTCATGTCAGTTCTTAATTTTTCTACATTATTTTATACTGTGCAGTAGTTCATCTACCTGTATATTATTTTCTTTTATCCACCCCCCCCCCCCTAAAAAATCTTAATTTCTCATTCTCTTTCACAACCTACAGGTAAGGAGAATTTCAGACCCAGGAATACTGCTGTTTGAAAAGTTACCAATAGTACTACTGTATACTTGTACTGCCTTGAAGTTTGGCAAGAGAGATACAGTAGTTAGCCTATCCATCCTGCTAGTGGTGAGTGGAGTATGGAATAGGAGTAATTACTATAAGTACCAGGTAATACTGTACTGTACACTGTATTTATAATTTCTTATTTACCTAAAAGCCACCTACTAGAGGTGGTCATACCAAGGGAAGGTGGCCAGAGGCCTATGTAAGAGCCCTCCATTGTTCTTGATAATTTGTCTAGGGCAATTTTAAAGCCCAGTACAGGTATTGTTCTCAATTCCAGTGTGAGCTGGAAGACTGTTCTATGGATCTACTGCCCAGTGTTAAGTTTGGTAAAGTTCAGACATTTCCTCTAAATATATATTATGTAAAGTAACTTAACCTAACGAGCACTGGTAGTGCCTAGGCTCCACTGGAACAACAACCCAAACAGTGAAATATAACGGATATTTTTTCAAAGGAAATTATCAGTGTGGGTCACAGGAGGCATGAGCTGCGATAATTGTGTAAACTAAGTATTACCTAAATAAGCTACCAAGCACATTTACCCCATCTTGGATCTTTCTTATAATATATTGGAATTAGCATTACATCTATCTATCACAGTTAAACGTCCATTATTAACTCTACTTGAGGCTACAAGAGGATGATTACAGGAGTGCAATGTTTGAAAAGTTTGAGAAACAATGGGAAGACAAAAGGTCTTTGGAGTTGAAGGTATATATCATGGGTAATTTAAATTTTGTTCCTGCTAATATTAACGATGCCTCGTAATTAGTTTTGATGGATTTTTTCTTACTATATTTTCAACGTTGAGTTTGGATATGATGTTCATTTCTTGGGTAAATGTTTCATTTGGTAGATAATTAGGCATCTATGTTTGCACTATTTCATCTTTCTCGGCATTGACAGTGAAACGGCATGGTGACCCAATCCACGCCCAATTTATTCATAACTACAACAGTGTCCACTGCAAAACACAGTGAAATTGCTGCATTTTTTAATTAATTTTCTCGGTAACTACTTAACTGTTGTTAATAAATTACCCTGGCGGTTATTGACCAACTCTCAAATATCATAATTATGTAATAACCCGGAGTATTTTAGTCAACATGTGTTTAAATAATTTAATATGAAAAGAAAAATACAAAACTATTTACTCACCACAGAGGAGTCAGTAGCAACACAACCTTCTGTCACAACATCACTCGGGCAAATGGTTCACCAAGTCATAAAATAGTTAAGAGACAATTATCTCATATGAACTTTTACGAATCCATCATAATCCTTTCAGTATCCAAGCTGTTAACAAATCTCAAGAATCTTTGGCACTTTAGTTATCGGTGTATTATTGACACTGCCCTGAAGGAGGCAGCCACAGTCTTGGTGTGTCTCAGGAAAACACAGTTCTTGCTAATACAGTATTTACCTGAGAAATGAAGTAAAACAGAATGTAATAATATTAACATCATGAAGCATTTAATCAAGTGCCTTTGTTAACAGCTGGCTTGCAGCACACCAAACACCAGCCATCCTGCTGTTTTACACATGTTGGTAGCCCTACCCAGTGGATCAGGATCTCGACACATGACAATGCCTGAAGCACATTCTTGAATAACGCCTGCCTCCACAAACTTCTGGTTTCCAATGGTTGGGCATGTTGACTGAATACAACCCTCTGTCTGACTGTAGTTAAGCTTCCGTAGCAATGGTGCTCCATGCCAGATGTGTAGTTTAGATGTGGAAATTTTCACCAATTGGGAACAACATGACTTGCTGGAAGGAGGATGGAGTGTGATATGTTTGACTGTCTGCAAAACTGAGTGCCTGAAAATCCACAGTGTGTCTTGGGCTTCCATCCTTCTTAGCAACAATAATCATCCTGTGGCACCATGTGGTTGGTGTTCCTGGGAAGACTTCTTCGATCGCGTTCAGACATACCGGTACATCTCAATCGAGGTCTGCTTTGGCCTTTTGCCAATGTACAGGGACTGGTAATGTGTATGAATTGCTGTGGGTTCAGTTCCCACTTGAAGGAATATCTCCAGTGGTTCCCCTTGCATTTTTGGTAACTCATGGTGCTCACATACATTAAAGGCACTGGAGGCATACCTGTCAAATAGTCATGCTTGATGTTTTGTGACATTTTGAGGTGTTGCTTCATACGGAATCGTACTTGGCATGTGGGAAGGTTCTGTTCGCTTGGATCATTTGCAGCATAAATTGCCTGAGGATACCCCCTCTCTTATTGGATGATTACCATTATCTGCAATGTTTATGCCAGCAGCAGAAGTAGCTTCCTTGACAGGTGGACTAGAGAATTCGCCGACTATCTGAATGTTTCTGGGAATAATTCCCAGGTAGGAGCAGGCTTGGTGGCTAAGAAATAAGCCATGACAGTCTCTTGCAATGTAGCAAAGTTTGTCAAGTCTTTCTATGGCCGTTGGCATCAGAGCCCGAAATGTCATATGAAGACCCCACACATCCGATCATTCTCTGCAGTACTGATGGTTTGGCTGACTGGAAGCAGGTCTTTCTTAGAAGTGTGCCCGAGGCAGGACAGGATCTGAATGTTACTAGTTTGAGATTGTGCTGCTGAAGCGGTAAGTTCAGCTGATCGTAAGTGCCTTTTGATACTGCCACGTTTAAGGATATCCAAGGTTGGCCTGGTGCCTGACATCGCACCCATCCCATAGCATCATGCCATAAGTGGTGATCGACCACAATACCTTTATAACTGAAGGCTTCCTGACGCCAACAGCAAACAATGATATGAACTCTAGGTTTGCCTCAGACTCCAATACTGTTAAGCCCTGTCCACACTATCGGACAGTGACTGGCTGACTGTGCCCTCACCGGGCAGAGTCTGTCGGGCATGACTGTGACGTTGTCCACACTGCTGAGTAGGTGGTCGGCAGCCCCTGAGTGCGTTATGTGGTAGATGAAACATTAGGAATTTAGGATGGATCTCCAATTATTACTATTTTTAATACATGTAAAGGGAACTATATTACAATAGTATTGGAAAGTTCAATACTGTACATGCATCTATACTGGCATGTTGAATAAAATGTATTAATGGGGTCTTTACATACCTTTTGTTGCACCTTCACCGTGATATGTGTACGTGGATATCATCATCGTCATCCTTCATACCCCATTTCCCTAAAGAGGGGTGGGGAGGGTTTTGCTCGGGAAAGGTGAAACATTCAAGTAAGAGTGAATCAAGAGTGCCACTCTGGCAACACATACCTTTCACACATATTCCTGCAGAATTATCAGCCCCTCCATCCTGTCTGCCTCCAGAGCTAAAGCCCTTCATAATGAGAGAGAGAGAGAATGCTTATGTACCTCATGATCAAAACATAACTTTGCAGCCACATCTTCAGTAGTGTGATTGGTACCGGCATCCATGTTTGACACAGTGCTCTGATTGTCACTATCATTCAGAAATGACAGGTCATTAAAGCACCATAATTTTGGCCTGTAAATTTCGTTTGTCCCAGCTCCTGACTTCTGTGATTTATGTACCAGTCTCATTTCACATCCATGTTGATTCTGTAGTCTCTATTTTCCGCTTTATATCCCCTGTGGTAATGGAGGCAGTAATCTTCCTTATCTCCTCTGCAATTCTCTTGAGTGCTGCTGCACATTTGTCTCTATCTTTGTACATGTCACTTTTGACATTCCATAGGCACGGGTAATGGCGATAAAGGTCAATTAACCGTACGGTATCTTGTTTGGACCAGTGGAGGTTTGCAGGTTCTGTGGTGCACGTGGACGGAGGGCTAGACATGATGACGAGGTAAACTTAATAACCACCACCTGTGTCTCGTGGTGAGACCGTGAGAGATTGACAGCCAGGTGCAACTTTTTGTGGCTGGCAGTGTCGTCGGTCCATGCCTGGCGCCAAACCACCGGGCAGTCTGCTGATTTCGCTCAACTACGGGCATGGGCTGTACACTGGTTTGCCAGTCAATGTTGCCACAAAGTGTGTGATGACGGACTCATCACTCGTGCCCGACGGTCACTGTCCGATAGTGTGGACGGGGCTTTAGATCCACATTACCACTAGTGCCATTGATAGACCTGGCACCCGACCTGGTCCTGTACATATGGCATAGCAATTTAAAGTGATGCAGCTTACCACATGTTGCACTTTTTTCCCCAGGCTTTACACTTCGACTGGGGCCCAGGCTCCCATGGCCAGTCCTGCGGCAGAATGCAGTCACCTTCACTAGTGCATTTACAGGGGTTAGTCAGGTTTTGTGCAATGTGGCAGCCCTGTGTTTGTTCACGTTTGACAGAAGGAAACTCACAATAGAAAACATACAATGGAATCAAACTAAAACAAATAACTGAATGTAATGATTTGTGGAATGTTTATATGACGAGCCCATGTAAGCGCACTAGTGAATGGGACTGTACATGTTACATCCGGATCGATATCTGGTGGAGGTACCATGGCACGCTGCTTCTGTCTCTGGTAAGCTGAAAACTTTCAGTGAAGTCCAGCCAGGCCATCTGTTAAAAGGCCCTGAGAGCAAAGACTAGATTCCTTCACCTCTACAAATGACAAAACAGCTTTTAAATCCATCGACTTATTTTCAGGGTGGCTTAACAGGTCTTTATGTACATCAACATTTATGAGATTGCGGACGACCTTATCAATTATCACCTCATCAGCTACTTACCTTGGTGTTGCAGCCAGGTTTGGAACACATGACCATATAGATGCAAACAGATGCTTGTCTCTTTACACAAGCAGCAAACTGCCTGGCTTGTTCACCTTCATCCTGATTAAGATGGCGAGTTGAAGTTTGACCATCCTACCATTTTATTTCACCGTCATCCTACGAATTCTTCTGAGGTGGTCAGCTTCATTTCTAAAAGCAGTCCACCTCCCAGCTTCCTGTGTAGGTCGCAGCGCAGTGCCTCCTCGCAGCACTCCCATGGCATCGCCGTCAGGCCAGTTGCTGTGTTGCAGGTTGACCAGCGGTCTTCAAAATATGCCCAATCTTCATCAGTGATGCCAGCTGCGAGTTCTGGTCGTGCAGCTTTCCGAGGTATGGTGTACGTAGGGTTGTCTGATACATCTTCAGCACACGAAGAGCAACTGCTTATGTTAATCTGATAAATCTGGTGTCTCGTAGAGACAAGCCATTGCAGTGTATGAAAGTTTCATCTTGAAATGTGATGACTTGTTTTATGACAATCCTACTCACTGAGCCACAAATCTCGAAGGAATAATAGACGATTGAGGTCTTTTTCTTTATTAATATCCTTCAGACACACATATCTGAAACAACAGAGAAAATGTTATCTATGATCAATACCCGGAAAAATTCCTTAGATGTGCGATTTTTTCTGGGTATACGAGAATACCTCAATACTTGGAAATCTCTGCACCAATTGTTTCAGCTAACAGATATGACTGTATACATATAAGTGAGTATGGCAAACAAGTAACAATAGTTTGGTGGTAAAAAGTGCTATCCAAATACAGTATCGAGTTTACTTATCATGTGGACTCCCTGTATTACATTAGGTCAATTAGAAACCAGGTTATAGGTTATTGTTTATTAGTTTCTTTTGTCAGATAAAGAATGAAGACTAGCAAATGATCATACCTTGAAAGCATGAAAAAAAAGAAAAATGGCAGGTCTGGCTACAGTCAACTAGGTGCAAACAACAGCTATTTCCCTAGTCATATATATTTTGTTTCTTGTCTTTTCAAAAATGTACAAAAGTTACTCCTATAAAGTTATGTTAAAGATCTGTACAAAATAAGTACATACATCTACATACACATTCTAACATTGATTCTCTTTGTACCTCCATAAAAATAATGTAATAATTTGCCTATCTACATATCTTTGGGTTACTACAAATTAATTCTTTGAGAATGCAAACTATGACAATATATCCAAGCCTCTAAAACAGGCAAATATTCCGTGTGACTTGCAAATGACACAAAACAAGGAACCTTTGGCAACGAATGTAGTTGACAACCCAAGAAACAACCTCCACTGTCATTAACAGACCCTTAACTGACTGTCATTCTTAGTCATATCTAAAAAATCCATCTTTTATAAAGTTACAATTTAGATACTGTACCAGTATTGTAAAGGCTTTTCAAGACAATTACCGAATTCATAAGATGGCAGTATAAAAGCACCACTACCTGTTTCTATTTAAATAAAATATATATAAATATATATGTATCAATCTGTTGTGTTTAAATGGTTATTGCAAATGCATATGAAAATTTACAAAAGTTGAGAAAACTCATTGTTTTCAAATTGGGCATAACTAAATACATTACTTGGAAATTTTAATGGCATTACCAACTCACCTGGAATAAAATGATAAAATACTCACTATTTTCCTTACAAAATTTTAACACCATGAAATTTCATATGAAGAGGACAATTTGCATTGTTGCCAAAATAAAATACAGTAATCTGAACACTTCTCATATTAATAAGAAATTAACTGATAAGGAAATCCAGTCACACTAATTTCATCAGAGATGGCTCACTCTGAATTACAACTGCAGGTACTCATGTCTCATGCATTCTCAACATTTACTCTTACAATATCACAAGAATTGACAGATTACACATACTCTCACTCCATGAAATGTACAAACACGACTCATTCACACACTAAAATTACTTCACCTACAATAATCTTCCTGCATACTCTCCCATAAATACACCTTTATGCAGATGCAAGTGGACGTAGATATTGTGCTGTACTTTTCTATAAAATACCTCAATTTTAGGAAAAGTTTTAAGTGGCGTATCATTAACTAACTCTAGATTCAAGATTTTAAGGCCACCTGTCACTAACTTAATAGCACTTGGGAGTATCATCACTTAAGTATTAAGTAATGCCTGAGATCACAATTCTTGCAAACGTACTAAAGTCTCTTACCATGGACTCTAAATCTGTATAGACAGGTGTAGAGTATATTACCATGGTTACTGTTAATTTTCAACTCAATAAGTGGGAAATATTCACTGCTTTCTTTTTTCACAATAAAAGTTTGAAGGGACTCTCCATCTTGATCATATTCATAACTCCCAAAATGAACACCCTCATCATTTTCAGATGTAAGACCCCATACTTCAAACTCACGTGGGGCCGAGTCAATCGTTCCACTTGGTGACAAGGATTTGGGGATGTGTTCGAGACTAAAGGCTGATGGATTCACGAGACCAGCTAGCTGAATGACAATATATCCTTGAGACCCCTTAAAAGCCCAGCACTGACCAGGCATCCGGTCAGGCTGGATGATTGTGCGAGGGTTGTTTGTGAAATATCTGTAAACTGTAAAACCTAAAATACTGACTTCTGCTTGATGGACCTGAAATGTAATTTAAAGAATTAGCATAGGGCATACAATTTATATTCTTGAGAATAGGATTGCAATGACTGCTGTTACAAGAGGTTGTCCATCTTGTATACAAATTTAAAATTCTAAAAGTACTGATAGATTGAAAAAAGGTGAAAGACCAGAATGTGAAATGAAGGTGGGAGAGGGAAGAAAAAAAAGATGATGACCAGTACCATCACTAGAAGCATAAAGTAGCAAAACCGGATATATTGAACTTATACAGCAATGAAGAAATTAAAAGTTTCAGTGGTTGAAAAATATTTACGTTTGTACAGTAAGGTCCCGCCAAACAAGTACTGTACCCAATGAATGAGAAATTGGTTAAATGATCGAAGTGGTTTAAGGTAAGAAAATTCAATGAATGAATTTATATTAAATTTGGTATGAAAAATTTAAGGTGATCCAGTTCATATTATCATTCATAGTCAGGCGAGTCTTCCTTTGTTACTGGTTGAGTAGCAAATACATTCACAGATTTGCTTTCTATATTGTGAGATGAAGTCAGTGGCAGGTTAACCCAGCTTGACTAGCCAGTAAACATAGATATAATGACAACAATTGTTTTCTGGTCTTGGTGCAGCGCAGGCCAGTATCACTCGGTAAGCATTGTGGATTCTTACCAGGTGTGCTGCCCTAAAATGTCTCAAAATAAATGCAAGTGATGGTACCAAGTGCAAAAAGAAAACTTAAAATGCTTACTAACAAAGATTTTGTCTCTGGAAAAATAGTCCTTACTGCATACACCTGCCAGCTGACTTGACCCTCCACTTCTTCATCCTACCTGCTCATCTTTCAACACTTCTGCTCTATGTTAATTAGCATATATGAATAAAGAATAAGGACGAATAATACTGTTGCAGTTTATTTCCATATAAAACTTCTGAGTAAACATAGAAAATTGAGCTGTCTGGGAATTTAGTGGCCTGAATGGCATGGCATGGTAGAGTATGTGACCAATATTGCTTACATTGGCTAATGCCCACAGGGCAATTGTAATTACAGCACTTGGCAAGTATTTTGAGAGGAAATGCTAAAAAATTAATTCAATTTAACTACCTTCAAACAGTTACAGTCTTCTTATTATGATATGCTTTATAGTGCCCATACTGTAATTATATCTTATCATACTTCCTGACAATGTTTAATCATGTGGACTGATACCAAAACCAAAAATGTACTGTGAGCTACGCTGCTTATCTTCCCGTGAGATGCTGATTGCTGATGCCCTTAAATACGTATTGCAATTTTGTAAGGAATGCACTGCTAAAAAAAAAACTCAAATGTGGTTCACAATATGTTGTGAGTGCAGCTGCTACTTTCAGATTCTCCCAGCATCATACATTTAAGATGGAGTGTATCCAAGTTTAACCATTGGATCCTAAAGGAAAATGAGACCATTGAACAAGAATTAATCTAATAAACTCCTTTTTTTTCCCAGGAATACATCTCGCTCATTAAGCGGGACCTTACAGTTATTGGAAACTCTGATCAAAGTTCTCTGCTCATGAATCACGACCATAAAGGCTTGATAAATGATTTAATAGCAAAGTATTTTCAAGGGTAGCACAAAATGTGACCAGCAGCACTATATCAATTCTTTGCTTATTATTATAATTATTATGAGAAAATAAAATGAGTGATAATTTCTTTAGCTTACAAAAAAAAAAAAAAATGGATATAAAATTTTATATTTAAACTGAACTTATCATTACTCGATGACAATTACACACATCTGAAAATTTTGCAAACTTTAGCTCTTTCACTAAAAATATAAACAGAAATAAAGTACTAGTATCAAAATATGTATGAAATGTTCTTGAAACAAAATTATAATCTAAGCACTCAATACAACTAACCTGATAGCTCTCAGTGCAGCGAGTGGAAATTATATTTCCTCCAGCACTTTCCAGAGCATGATCCACCATACCAGTCCTGTCTGCATCATATTTCTTAAGGGCCTCATTCACAATCCGAATTACTGCAGACTTGTTCAATCCAGCATCAAAGGTCATCCCCGGAAAATCAACATCAATGTTTGAACCGCTCCTGCTATTGTGTGTGTGGTTCACAGAGGTTAAGAAGTCCCCTGTTACCACTTCCATTCCTTCCTCCCCAAGTTCATTTTCCTGGAAAAGTGACACCAGTTTCAAATAATTATAATTATTGTTTTTATTTATGTTAATTATACAGTACTGTACCAACAATAATTAATTGTAAAAGTTATATTTTTAAAAGATGTTCCCTCCGATTTTAGTCACCTACCTTGTTTGCTTTTAAGTCCTTAAGAGCTTCTGTGATGGCTAAAGATACAGTCTCATTCACTGCAGCTGGTAAAAGTGATGCAACTACCTTTGGCACAACAACTGCAACAGTGTCTTGTACTTGAATAGATACAGCCTTTTGAACTGCTTTATTAACAGCAATTGGCAAAGCTTCTGCTACAGCATCAGGTACAGAATTTGCAACTGCCTTGGGTACAGCTTCATCTACAATATTTGATACAGCTACATTCACTGCATCAGAAACAGCAACAGACACTGCAGCAACAACTGCCTTCTCAACAGCTGTATCTACAGCACCTTCAACAGCTACATTCACAACACCTGGAATTGATTCCACAACAGCACCAGGAACTGCTGCTGCAACAGCTTCAGGTACAGCAATAGCTACAGCCTCCGAAACTGCTGTAGCAACATGTTCAGGAACGACTTCCTTTAGAGCAGTATTTACGGCAACATTAACACTGTCATGAAGTTGCTGTCTGGAAGTTTGAAGTTGATGCTGTAACTGTTCTGATACTTGTTGTCCCAAAACAGTAGCAGCTATTTTTACTTGCTGATTCACTTGTTCGGCCACCTGTTGTTTAGACATTTCAACGAACTCAGTGTGTTGCTTGTGGATTTCTACACGTAGCTTTTGTAAAACCGTTTCCATTACTACTCGTGTTGTTTCACCACCTTCTGCTGAGAAATAATGAGACAGTAAATGGCAACTTCAAAATAAAATCATGAGTCTATCATATAAAAGTAATAACCAAACTCTTCTGATTATGAACAAGTCCTCCCATAAAAATAATCCCTCAACAATTCAGCAATCCTCTTAATTCAGATAATTTTTATGACCTGAAATCTAGTCTTGAAATCTCTAATAATTCATAATATTCTTAATTGTAGGAAATATTGTGAAAACTAACTGGTTAATTATGCTTATTTGTAACCATTCCAAATGTTAATTTTGAAATTGTAATCTGAAATTTATGTACCGGGGTAAATTTTATTTATGTAGCAATCAACAATACATTGTATACTCTATTGTGAAACAATTTTATAATACTGTACTTATAACAGTCTCTATACATTTAATTTTACACAATTAGTGGACATAAAATTTTTCATGAATTTATGCCCTTGTGTAACTCACACTCCTGTCTATAAGTTTGAGTCCCAACTAGAACTGTTGGCTTGGTGAATCATGATCATAAAATTCTCCTTCATTCTATACCAATAATACCATACATGTGATTGGTTTAATTCTAGACAATCATTTTGTGTATTTTGAAATACTCACAAAATTCCACCCAATTTAGAATCCTTTCAGGTTCACAAAACCTTGAGCTCCTATTATTTCAAAATGTGAAGGGATTACTGTAACTGGATTCCAACTATGTTCCTTCTTGCACTAAGCTGATTTGTATTATGGTTAATCAAAAGAACTTTCAGCTAGCTATCCTCATAACTCTTGTACAAATTTTAGCTACATGACCATAACCCCCTATTTCCCCTTTGAGGTTGATTTTGTTTATTTATTTTTCACATAACTTAATTGTATAATAATCCTTAGGCAAACTCTCCTACACTACCTTTACACAATCTTCAAAATCTCCCAACACTTTCTTCCAATATTTCTCTTGCATAAATGATTCTCATAAAGTACTTAATTCTTTCAGATGTAAATAAAAAAAGACATATTTCTGTTAAATAATACTGTATTATGCTTTGAATCACAGTCTTTTCTCTATCATGTTTGCTATCCTCATATTAGTGAAAGTACATATTTTTTATCTCATTTTCTCTTTTGACATCTATTCCAAATATTAAATTTCTACAGATTACTCTTACTTGCCTTCAACATTCTTTGCCATCATCGTTGCCCTTAAAGTGTTGAGTCTTGTTTCCAGTTCTTCCTTGGCAACAAAGTAACTTTTCAGCCATGCTCCCATGTCTCCAGCAGTCCAGGACCTTCTAATTCCATCATTGCCTTCTGAATCTTCATTTGAGGATGAACCTGGAAGGCCCAGTATGTCTCCCAGGAGAATAGTTACATGTTTTTCAACATCAGCCAAAGTAACACTGGTGTTCTTGCAACAGGTTTTTACTTCTGTGGCCAGGCTGGCATGGTCACTCTGTCCAAAGCACAGGTTTTAAAATTAAAGTTATTAAATCATAATAATGTTGACCAAACATGTGACTTAAGTTATTGGGAGGAAGTATAGAATATAAAACATGTAACTGGAGCATGTAAATTTAAGTTTTAGACTAAACTGGAAATAAGGCAAATATTTATGGTGTCCCCATGAATATTTAATTTATACAGGGGGCCCCCCAAGTTCGCTGATTTTTATTTTGCTGGCCTCTATTATTCGCGGATGACACCCTGGATGTACCCAAGAATGTCTGTGGATAGTTTTAAAGTTGCCGGCATTTTTGTGGCTGGGACAGGGAGCCATTCGTTCTAGAGACAGTAATTTCCTTTACCTGTATTGTAAATATGTGTGTGTGTATGTAGACACACACACACACACACACACACACACACACACACTGGAAAGGTTTGGCCGTGGACTACTGCACCACCCTCGCCATCGCCACCTCCTGCCCCCCACCCAACTCGCACAGTCCGCCACTACAACAGAATTCAGCCCATAAGAGCCCGCACCGATAGATATAAGAACAGCACCATCCCATCTATTGTTAAAATAATAAACAACTCCTGATTTGTGTACTGTACAGCCCTGTAAATGTATTCAATGCATATTATATCATTATGTCTAAATCAAATGTAAGTCTGTATATTTTCAGCCACCGTCTGCAACTCTATTAATAAACCGTTTATTAATATTATTATTATTATTATTACACATACAAATAAATAATAAGTGGAAAATCCATCTCACAAATAATCTGAAACAAATTCATTAAAAATGAGATTCTACCCTGAAGTCCATGCTTTATTACTTTACTAATAAAGCACGAACTTAAGGGTAGACTCACATTTTTAATAAATTTGTTTCTGATTATTTGTGAGGGTATTTTCCCATTATTATTCATTTGTATGTGTTTTGTGTGTGTGTGTGTCTTCACACACACATATACCTGTATACAATACAGGCAAAAGAAATAATTGTCCTAAGGGCAAACACATAAAGGGAATATACATTTCTTTGATCACAAGTAAGATGTAACCCCCGTCCTCAAATGTTATTCGCGGATTTGGCGATTCGTGGCCATTTTGAGGACCTAACCCCCACGAATTTGGGGGCCCCCTGTATGAAGGAATGATATGCCATGTGGTTAGTTACAAATGTTGCTGTGAAAATAAAGTGATGCATATAACCAAAATAAAGCATGGTGTGTGTGACCAATGATACACTGACGAGCAAAAATAAACAGACGAATTACAAACAATGAATATGACATTTTATAATGTTTGAGATACAAGAAAACTACTGTCAGTAAAATAAAGGAAAATTACCTACATCGGTAATATAGTTACTGATATGTAAGTGCATTACTATCCCTGTTGTTTTACTTGCTACAAGTTAAAACACAATTTCATTAAATGATGAGGAAAGCAAAGGCAGAAAATGTTAATCAGCCCATAAATGTAGAAAATTAACCCCTAAAAATTTTAGAGGGGGACAATAAAGATTCAGATATGAAGGCATAAGACCCTTACATAAAGTGACCACATATTAATGTATGGTGGCATCGTGTAAGAATAGGTATTATCATCATTTTATGGCTCTTTTCCATGTTTGTATGTGATAGCTAGATTAATGAAATTTTATGAAAATACAACCAATTATTTGGAACAAAACTAATAAGCATTACCTACAGTATGCAACACAACAGAAGTTGCCAGTGTATGAGAGAGTGAGAGAAAGTAAAACAAATACTGTACCCTTAGCTATGAAATCAGGATGCAATGTGACATACTACAAAGACTATGAAAGTTTATTACCAAACACAAAGTAACAATGTACCTGCAAGTCATTGAGCTGGCTGCTGAGCTGCTCAATCTGGTTTCTGAGGTTTACCAACTGCTTCTCATACTCTTGTCTGTGGGCCACCAAATGCTTACGGTCCACCTCAGCTGTTCCCTCAATTTTAGCTAAGCCTGCACCCAGCTGAAATAGGTGCCATTCAATAACATTAACTTTCATTAAAATTTTAATTTAAAAGTTTATCATATAAATACTGTACTACTTTCAATGATCTGCACCTATCACTGAATAGAGGTAGTAAGCTAGCTGTGAGTAATTTTACAATTTAAACATTACAGTAGTTTAATGTGAAACTGAGCTTAAAACATGAATTGTGTAAACATGTTAGTGATTAATTCAGTGCTCTCTCATTGCAGTCATAACACTTAAAAGTATTGAGGAAACATCTACTCGGGCTACCCAATAGGTGAAGGGAGAGTAATGCAGTCTCTCAATCCAAACTTGCTCAGTTGACTTGCATAATCTGAATTTGCAATGTATAGGGAGAAAATAGGCCAAATTAAACTCCAAGAGCCAGAGCAAATAGGCAAACTATACAAGGAGTATTAATAAAGACATTGAACCAAGCTCATCCATTCCCCATGCCATGCAGTCCAAAAGCATACAGTGACCCCTCGGTTAACGAACTCAATCCGTTCCAGAAGGTCGTTTGATAACCGAAAAGTTCGTTAGCCGAAACCATTGTTTCAATGGGTTTTTGGGTAATTGGTTCCAGCTCACAGAAAATTTCCTAAATTCAACAAAAATGGTAGAAAAGTTCACTTAGTTTAAGGTGTGTATGTAGAAGGCTCCTGGATGATGATGATGATGATGATGGGAATTAGAATGGGGGTGGAGGAGAAGGAAGAAGAAAAGGCATTGGGGTGGAAGAGAAGTCACCCCATGGCACCATTTCATCCATAAAATTTTAGTTCTCTTGGTGTATTTCAAGATTATTTTCTTGAAATCAACACTGCACTGCATTATATATTGTCACTATGTGAAATATATTTCAAAATGACCAATAATTTGCTTGGAAACACAGAAAAAAAGCGTTTAGTTGAAGAGAGTCTCAAGCAAGATGTTACCTCCACTGAAAACAGAGAGAGACTAACGCTTGTCTGGTGTGTTAACAGGCTGGATGGCACGCCAGAAACTAGTTTCTTTACCTTCAATTATGTTCAATAATTGTTAAAATGACTAAAAAAGTTAATATTAAACTTTTAAAATTTTTGAATAGTATAAACTTCTTGATATTTACTAAAATAGTAAGGAATTTAAGCCCTAGAACCGATTAATGTATTGGCGGACTGATACTAAAGCTGGTTGCCCGGTCAGTGCAAGCGAAAACATGTTGAGGTCGGTTCGTAAGAAATTCGTTAACCGAATTTTTGTTCGTTAACCGAATTTTTGTTCGTTAACCAAATTGAAGATCCTCATGGAAGGCAGTTCGTTAACCGAAATTTCGTTAACTGAGGCGTTCGTTAAACGAGGGGTCACTGTACTTTGTTTCAAGATTTTGGTTGGGACAAGAAGGATTTCAATTGATTATTTTATTTGTTACAATTATCAAATCATGAAACCTGGGTTTTCAACCCAAAGTCTGAGGTGAAAAAGTGAAGTGCAAGGTTATAAAAGCATCCCCAACTAATGGTGAATGAACTTCAGATCTAAGTCTATAAATTTTCAAAACGGATTCATTTGTACAGTTTGTCACCATTCACTCTTCGACTTTCACACATAAGCCTTCTCCAGTGCATGCAGTCTCTTGTCACTCACCTGGAATACTTTACTTGTATGTTCTTAAACCTAAAGAGGGTCAGTTATTAATGGAGACAGGCTACAACCTCCCTTCTACTACTAATACTGTACAATACATCAGTATCACCAACCTATCACATGATGCCTACAGTAATATACCTATACCTTCAAACCTCTCAATTACTCTCATATACAGGTACAGTTGTGTAAATGTGTTCCTATACCCAGTGGTAACCCGAGTCTCCAAACGGCAACATAGCAGTAATAGTATCACAGTTTATAAATGAATGAGTATTGGTCATGTAACAGCGGATGTGATTGGTGGATAGGTTTGCTATAGGTCATATAGATTGGCCATTTAGAAACGGGTTACCACAGGGGGGATAGGATCACATTTCAGCACCTGTACCTCTCGATTTATGCGCATTTGGTTTACGTCATTTTTAGAATAACGCATGTGGTCCATTTTTGTGTGCTTCTGTATGGAATAATGTGATCATCAACAAACTTCATAAATGAGCTGGCAGCTCAGCGATGTCGCTTTGCCAGTGCCGTATGAGACGTGTATGCACAGTACGTGTGGCATGGGTATGCAGCTTCCCACGTTGCAGTCCTAGGTGCATGGATAAAGTATGAAGTAATATACTGTATATTGCATGAGATTGACCATTGCATCATGCCACCTAAGCATATTTTAAGTTCTCCTGGTACCAATGGTGCTAATAAGAGTAGAGCCATCACCACTGAGATTAAGATGTTGTGCTCAAACGTTATGAGAGACTACAGTATTTGTGATAGTGCAGAGAAGATCAAGGAGAGTGCCAAGAGTGGAACATTAATCAGCGCACCTAAAACCATGTATTCCCGAAGTTCGATTATGGAAAAATGGAACGTGGATCAAATACCAAGCTCACAAAAATTTTCTTCGGGATGCTTTTGATCCAGTATGTACTATACAAGCAAAGGTCCAAAGCATTTTATATTTTTTGGGAATGTGTATACTTTAATTTTTCACTGGTATTATATTAAGTACTGTCTTATTAATAACAAAACCCCTTAATCTCCACTATTTACATAGTTTGACTACCTATTTTTTTATTTACACAACCATTTTCAAGAAAGTAATTATCACATAAATCGAAAGGTTCCCGTGTTTTTCTTCCCCAAAATGATATAATCTGACGCTCTCCTTTACAATCCCCAAGCTGCTGCCTAGCCAAATACTGTACTTTAACTGTAATATTTGCTAAAATAATGACACAGATCCATTAGGGCAAGTTTCACTTTGGAGTTCTCGAGTTGTACAATACGTGACCTTTGTATACAGTACCGTATTTCACGTTCACAAATGTTTGAAAACTTCCATATCTGACACAGGTAAAGTTTACATTTTATAAAACAGATATGACTGCATAATCTCAAACATTTCCACTAATTCCTGTATATTAATACCTATTCACCTCAAATGTTCCTCAATTTGCTCCCTCACCACATAAGTGATTGGTTAATGAAGGTTTACTATAATAGTAAATAAAAGATATTCACTCTACAATAACAATACTGTACATGAGTCTTACCAGATCCAGTTGTTTTAGAAGGAGTTCATGTTGCTGTTTCAGAGACAGTATATGACTGTTGGTCTCCTGAGCTGTGGTAGTTATTTGGACCTTTTCCTCCTGTAGTGCTGACCTATATAAATGAGGTGGTTTGATTAGATTAAATATTAGAGGAAACAGACTCACCAAACAATGGTTTCTTTGTTCCTTTATAGCCCAAGTCACTTAAGGACTTTCTGGAGCTTAAAGAGTGGGGGTGGGAAATAAGAAAAGTCAATGAACTGGCTGAAAGCACCAGGGTTCAAAAGAGAGGTGGTCCCAAGAATGGTGAAAGAAAAGCTTGAGAGAATGTGTGAAATGGTAACAAGAATAATTTCCAAACCAAGATATAATAGCTGGAGAACATGGGAACATATTACATGATCCACACTTAATTAATTTATAATGGAGAAAACTTAAAACAATATATTTTTTTTAATAATACTCACATCACAATGCTAGAAACATTCTCAATCGTTAGCTGCTCCTTGTTAGAACTTTCAGAAGCTACTGTAGCAATAAGGGCCTTCAGTTCCTGACTGTTCAACACTACACTTGCAACTTCTGCAACCGATATACCCTTGAAATTTACTGCCTGTTCATTTGCTGGTGCCTTTGGTGTTACTGTTTCTTGTGCCTTTGGTGTTACTGTTTCTTTGCTCTTTGATTTATTTGTCTGGGTGAATGGCAGTACAAGCTGTATGAGAAGGAAAAATTTTTAGTCTATGGGACCTGCCATAAAACAACAAACACATAGAGATGGCATTGTATTTCACACCACATGCAACAATCCTGCAAATATTTTTTTACCAACTTTTAATACTGTATATATTAAATGCCATTTATAGCAGATAAACCAGAGGCCATAAAAATATTCACTAAATATTTTCAGAATAAACACAATAAATAACTCACCAGTTTAGCATTATTGGTAACTGTAGATAAAGTTCCAACTACTATAGATGATACTGTAGTTGCAGTAGATGTTACAACCCCAACAGTACCAACAATTGCATAAGTCAGTAATGTCCAGAGTCCAGATACCAGGTACCAGATAAAAGCCCATGTAGAGCCCAGGAGCCAGAGGATGAATGATGCAGTAGTGGTAAGAGCTTCAGCAACAGTTAGCACCAGCCACAGCCACCCAGTCCAAAGCCAGTTACCTGAAGCTTGTATTACTTCTGAAAGGCTCACATACGCTTCAGATATACGTTCCATAGGAGAAAAACTTGAAGCCCATGTAATGATATTCCATGACCGAGTTTCTGAATCTACAGTTTGCATTTCTTCTTCTGTTTCATTAGAGCCAATAATAGGCAAGAAGAGGCCAGACACATAAGATGCAGATGAAGAGAAGAAACTCAAGATGGCCAAAGCAAGGTATTGTAGATACTCCAGCATTAAGTAAAGGAACTTTAACATGTATGCCAAGCAAGTTTGTACTACAGACCCAAGCCAAGTAAACATTCCCACAATTGTCAACCACACTGACATGAGACCTGTGTAACAAGCAGATGCTAACCAAGAAACTAAGCTTAGTGTAGATTCCTGAAGAAATATGAAGCCTTGGGAGATGCTAGAAAACACCCAGTGGGTGAGATCAGATGCAGTTGTCAAAATTAAATGTAAGAAAGAAGGTCCATCAGTTTGTGTGGGGTCAGTAGTATCACCTGTCTTGGCACGAGACTGCAACAGCCACCAGTAAGCTGTTAGTAGAGAAAATTTAAATTAGCTTCTCATTCTTCTGATAACATGAATTAAGATTTTTCTTTATATACACCATATTATTGTGAATCAGTTTTGAAGTTTCTATGACTAAAAGAAAGTCTTGAGAATTAGATCAGACACTGAATTAATAATGCCTACAAAACAAATTACTAGATGAAACATGGCATGTTTTTGTTGACAACACTTCTAAATTTCTTGTCACTACAACCCAATACCAAACAGTACAGTACAGTACACAGATCATGTTATCAGGTGAATGTTTAATTATCAGTATAGAAGGTCATGTTAATCCTTAGATAGATTTGCCATTACTACAGTATTATCCTACTGTCAATAGGAAAATTAAGCTTAAATGCAGATTACCAAGGATTTCAATTTCCGTAACACATATATACAGTATACGATATTAGTGATTTAATTAATTGCTACAATACTTTATCATGCAATGCTTGATTCATGCATCTTGGTAAAGTGCTTCTACTCTACTTTGTTCTATTCATGCATTTAGAACTTAATGCTTATCACTACATGGTGTACTAAAAGTACAAGAAAGTGTAGTATTCAAATACAAGTTGATAACAAGCACTTGACCATACAAGAAATATTATAGGTCAAGCATTGATCATATTTGGCTCTATTTGACCTTCAACACTTGGGTGCACAAAATGCATATATACAGTACAGATAAAGTAGAATGAAAGTTTTTTCTTTTTTTACTAAATAAGAAATAGTTCAACTATTTTGTTAAGAAGGAATCATTCTTAAACAATGAAAGAACTGTTGTCAACTTCTGAGACATTGGCTGACAACTGTTTGTTGTGTTGGGCTTGTGGGTTGTAGTAACCTGAAAACAATAAGTTAAATGTCTGATTTTTCAGGAGGTGACAAATTGCACATCATATTGCTATCAAGGTTAAAAGTAATACTGTTAACACCAATTTTAAACTAACTTTCAGTATGAGTAATTTAGTATAATCAATTGCAAATGATTAATACATCCTTATGCTTATGTAATAATGGCAAACATTCTTATATACAGTACAGGTATAAAGCTGTGATTAAAAAATACCAGCCTTCATTTACAGAAGCTGACCGGAGTTTACTCAGGAGGTACAGACATACCGAGAGAATAGAAAATTAAAGAATGGTAAGGGGATGTGCAGTATAATTCAAGAGTGGAGAGGGAAGTCCGAAGAGACGGCACGATGGGGTGAGAATGGTACTATCTGTGGCCCACTAGGCGTTGTAAAACTTATTTAAGATCATATGAAACTACGGTACTATATGCTATATAATTTCTAAAAGTAAAATGACTAAGAGGGGCACATTCACTAGGTACTTTCTAAGAAGAAAAACAACAACACAGACCAGGTACTGTACTATGAATGGTTAGGCAGACAAAGTAAATATTAGCATATGTAAATAATTAATCTGAATAGGGAGAAATGTTTGAATAAAGTATTTTGTAAATAATACCAACATTAAAAGAGTAAAACTTATCTTTCAATGGTATATTTCTAATCTATACTGGAATCATTTTCAAATATGAGTAAAAGAAGAATGATGTGGCTGTCAGTAGCCATTGAAATACTGCAGCCCCATATTATAGTAAACACAGGACAAAACAATAACACTTTGCTGCAGCAGGATGGTGTTGTTTAAGTAGAAAGTTTTATCAATAAGTTAATCAATCTTATGAGAAAAATATACATTTCTAGTGTTATTCCAATTTATTTTAATGTGTTATCGGGTGTTTTCCTGTTTTTACTACAATGTGGAACAAATGTTGTAAAGTAAGTTTTGATAGGAAGGAAGACCAAAGGTAACTTAGGGGTTAGTCAAGGAGCACAAATGAAAAGTGGAAATATAAATGAAAACTTGAAGAGGCTGGGGATCAAGAGGAACACGGCTTACACCAGTAAAAAATGAAGTGATGTATTAAAAATAAAATTAAATCATGTTGCATATTTCTGTTATCAATTAAAATTTTTTTTGTTTCCACTAGATTAAGTGAACAAGAACTAAAAATAGTGTAAAGAGGAGGTGGCTCATTATCTATCCTGCTGTGTAATGGGTAATTACTAATGATTATCAGCATAGAAAAATTAACAGCCAACAAACACAATATACTGAAATACTTTTGATGACTTATCTCTTTACACACAAGATAAAACAGAAGTAAAATACCTGTCATTTTATATTTGATCTTTACAACCCTTACACCAGTATTCGTATTAATATTCCATACAATTGACATGAACTTAGGGACAAACCCTGGCAAAATCTATAGAAAATATGTGACGGTGTGAAGAATGTCTGTAACTACAATGTTCAATTCTCTAATTGTATGACCTTCAAAGTGGGAGATATGACAGAGTACAAATCATTTATGAAGGATACTGTATACAGTATATACTGTACGTAATGTACTGCAACTTAGATTTTTTGGATCATTCATATTATCTACCACATTTCTGATGCAATAGCAGAGTAAATTCTAATTTCAACCCTGTTACCACATCCACTTCAAGTACTTCTATAAACATTAAACTCATGCATACACACAATTCATGCAGTTAAAACAAAATAATTTTTTTACTATGATCTGACTTCATACATGAGAAATTCACAAAACACTTACCAGTAAGAGCCAACAAAGTTAATATAAAAAGAAGAGGAATCCAAAGTAGAATTGGGTTCTTCCTCAGACGTTCTCTTGTTGATTCAAAGAATTCTGTCGTTACTCTTGTCATTTTCCTTCGAGTGGTGTTGATGGTTGACAGAAAAGAATATCTTGAAGATTTTTCTGAGGTTGATGATGAATCAGCAGCTGTGGGAGTTACTGCTCTGGCAGCCATCATGATGAAGGATGTGGTAATTAGTGTAGTGATCCGAGTTATACTATGCCAGGTCTTCTTGGTCCAGACTACTACTGTATCTGCAAGGAGAATTACATAATTTGTCTTTGAGCACACCTACATGGACAGCCTCCTCCCATCCCTTTTCTTTTTCAGGATAGATGAGCTGGGTTCAGTGAAACAAGGATTAATTATGTGGATATCACTGGGTCTTGTTGTATTAAAGGATAAAATCAGAGCAGACAGTAAATCGAAAGATTATGTCACTCCTAATTCCAGCTAATCTGTACCTGGGTGGGAAATACCTTGCAAGAGCAGAATTATCCAATCATTAGAGGCAACACAGTCCCCAAAATAGACAGCAAAATTATGGAAAAAAGTAGTATAATTGGTAGCCATACTGAATGACAAAAACACTGGAGGTGGGAAGTTTCAACTTTATGCCAAGTTTGAATGAAATTTATTAATACACATCTGAGACTGGCTACTCATGAATGAATGAAAAGACAGCTGAAACCAATGTTTGAACTCAGTAAAATGTAAAATAAGAGTACTGTACCTGCACAAAAATACTAGTGCCTCAGTAAAATCAAGGAGATTATTATTAGAAGAATGAAATGGAGAAACAGCAGAACATAAAAATAACCTTAAATTGTAAACTGGCACTATAATTTCTCTTATCCGGTTTTCTATGCAAGTTAAAACACAGAAAAGGTAATATTCCATCCCCATTTTACATTTAATGCATATAATTCATACTCTTTTCATACATACTTTCAGGTCTCTCCTCTTCTTCCAAATCTTCTGCAATGGCTCCTTTAGCTAACGTGTAGCCCCCTTTAGAAGTATCAATTAACATTTTTGATTTTGAATGACATCTGTTGATGGGGGTTCCTGCACGGCCAAGTGGTGTACCACTTCTTGCTGTAAGTGGAGTGGCACGGAGGGGTACCGTAGACTCCGTGCCATCATCCACATCACTTTCTGTGTCTAGGCCACAATGAAGGGTTCTTGTAGTTGTGAGAGCTATGGACCACAGTGCTTATAATTAATACTGTTCGACTGTCAACATTCTAAAATTCATTAAAAATAGAAATATATCCAGAATTAAAAGTTATACTACACATTCAAAAAGCATTGTACAGTATACTCAAACTTACAATTAGTAGTAATAGTTCTGGTAACTGCAGAACCATTGACTTTAGGCATGATATCAATACTCCGGCTTCTGCTTGATCTTAATCGGCGGGTAGATGGGATCTCTACCTGAACTTCCTCACCGTCACTGGTATCTGAATCACGTGGTAAAAACTTGGTTAGAATTGTGTTCTTTTGTTACACAATAATCTTTTCTTAGTTCTCCCAGTTTCTATTACAGCTTCCCTCAACAATTTCTGTTTTAGCAATCAAATTTGATCACAAACAAAATGACAAGTCTTTTCCAGGCACTTCATTTCAGGGTAAGATTTGGTCTGACCTTATGAAAACTGATAGCTGAATAAAAAATACACTTGTACTTGACATTCACAGAACTGAACCTGATGATAAATAATTTGTGTAACTATACAAAAGTATCACAGCTCTATCAATATACTATATGGTTATTATTTTACTTTACCAGTGTACAGTACCTTAGGATGTTTCATGTTTGTCAGCCTTTGACTTCAATTCACTCACACTTGAAGTTGTCACAACATTCACTGGCAGTTTATGTCAAGAGTTCACAATTCTTACTCCAAAGAAGTTAGTGTTCCCAGTTTTCTGAGGCTATGATCTCCCATGCAGCAACCCTCAGGTAACTCCAGATATGAACATTTGACTGGGAAATGCCCTTTGGGATACTTATACCTATAAAGAACTAAACTTACAACACTATTGTCCATCAATTTTCTTTAGAGTTTAACTCATCCAAATACCTGGCTTTCCACATCAGTACTGTACTGTAATTTGTTGCTTATTTGGTAATAACATAAGCAATTGTCAACAAAGAAATAAGTTAATACAGTCATGTGTTTGTGTATATACATAGACACATTACTGTATACACATAGTGCATTAAGGTCAAACATACCTGAGAGAGCATCCATTGGTCTGAGCACAGTTCTCGTCCTGAGGTTTAAGAGACTACTGTCGGTCTCAAGGGCCATATTTGATACGGTGAAATCCGGTGACTTAATATAATTTATGTTCCCACCCCTTAGACCCCGACGGGACATGTTGGGGGACCCGATCTTCCGGTCTGGAGTCACCCGATCACGGTAGGTGAGCGACTCACTGTAGGTGTAATCTGACTTGGGCTGTTGCCTGTTAGAGCATAAAATAATAAACAATTAATATAACATTTTTTTTTAACAATCATACTCACATGTAACCAAGGGTACCTCACTAAGATCACATTAATACTATTACCCATGTTTATTTTACCTAATTCTACCTTAACCTCCCCAGGTAACATTAAGGTGCTTAATCACAAGACAAAATAAGCTAGGGGGCTATTCTTCATGTGATCCTCTAAGGAGTCTAACCCATGAAGTGCAAAATCTCTCAATAAATTCATCTCTCTTTCAACAATTTTATTTACCAACATTCCTATAAACAATGTAATGCACTTCAAATAATTACCACTTGTATTATTTCTCAACATCCAGTGCCTTAATCCTCTGATCCTGACACTAACATATTCTGCAGTATACCTAAGTCTTGCAGCCATTTGATACTTGGTCGAAACATGTGTTGGAATAGAGTACAGTTCATGTTACAAATATACCTTTCATTAATTACTGACTTCAGGATAATATATTTAAGTACGTATACAAAAATTTCATCTATGGTTGTATACATATTTATACTGAATACACGAACAAGAATACACATTTACGATTACTGTTCATTAACCCACACCTACACATGCAAACACAAGCACACCCATACACCTACACCAAACACACACATACACCTCGGTAACCCTTGACATATTGCAGTAACCGCCGCACATGATAAGTTGGCAGTTGTGGCTACATCTTACTACACGTCTCGTCTTCAACTAAAATTATGCCAATTTCTAAGATAAAATAAAATCGGAAATCCAACTCAACATATAATATCTTTCCTAGACGACAATAACTCTTTCAATATATAAAATCAATAATACAATGTGTACAGTATATACAAACTATGCAAAATAACCCCCCATATACCACCTCCCACACGCTGATCGCCAGAGTTGCGGGCAGTTTTTACACTACATATAGGGTGAACAACCTACATGAGCAACGATGTCTAACATTGTGACTTCACCTTCCTACTGTGATTACATATTTATTGCGAAAACAGTGTGGGAATACTTCGTCAGGAAATTTACACCAGCAAAAAATAACTATCTAAAAGGGATTATATAAAGTAGGCTCATAATTCATGACTACTCAGAAAAAAATATATTATCATGTTAACGTAGAACACTAACACGCATAAATTACAACGTAACTACAGCATAACGTTTGGCGGACAAAATTGAGTAAAGGAAGACCAATCAGCAGGAGAGGACACGTTACTTCAGCTTCCTTCCTTCGTAGTCTTTTAACTGGGGATAGTAAATAACTTTAGGGTTTGGTAACAGCAACATTGCTGGAAAGGAGAGGAAAGTAGGCCTACAAAAGAGCACAAAATGACGGGAAGAGAAGTTAAACAAGCCTCTATAATTCTTTAGGGGCTTCTGCGGGGGTCAATATCCCACGATACAGGTTGTAACATGACCACCAGATGGATCCCTCGTCGGACGGGTCAAACTGGCTCACAACTGAGGTTAATTTTGATCAGCACTACCTTATACTAGACCCCACAAACAGTACAAACGTGTTTCAGTTAACTTCAAGGTATAAATGTGTATCAATAACCAGTATATCAAATAACAACGTTTTCATCAACTGTTCAAAAAAATACCGCCATGCTTTTTTACAAACCGAGTGACATTTAAGGCATAGTGAAAGAATTTTAATCCCGTTAAGTTAAGAAACACACACAAGATACACAAACACATACGCCCACGTGTATTCGTTTCATCACTTAAACATCATCGACTTCACCTACACCAATTTTCTTTATAGTAACTTAAAACCTGAGACAAACATTAATCATCAACTTACATTACTGATTATTGAGGGTTACGTTAAAGTGAAAGCAAAAATGCCTTCGAAGTGGAGGATCTACTGTATGTGGAAAATCTACACCAGGCCTGGTTCGGTGCACTCGTGTAAAGACTGGATTGGATACTCACTATGTCCCATACAAATAATTAAAATCGTCAACATTTCTGATTTTCCAAAAGTTGTGTTGACTTGGGACCGAAACATAAAGGCAATACAGTACCAGAGATCTGACCAATACTGACAAGTGCTAACGACTTCTAATAAATACATGCTGAAGTTGCCATTAACTGTCAGTACTTGGGTTTTAAATGCTCCAGCAGCTAAAAATTGCTCGTGTCAATAGTGCTTGGTCTTTAATAATCTCATACAGCCTTAAAATATGGCGCCGATATCAACAATCCCTGACATACTGACAAATAAAATAAGCCAAGTTTTTATTTTCACCTTATCCTCTATTAACTGACAGCCTTGTATTTCTGAGTTAATGTTGTTTTACACACACCCAAACACTCGTATTATTCATAAATTTCCTTCAACATCATAGCGAACATTACCGCATCCAGCCAATCCTTTATTTGTTTACATTGAAACTGGTGCCCCCGGTCTCACATACGCAATAAATGTAGGCTAGGACTGTGACCGGAATTGTACTGGATGAAGCCTGTTTGCACAATGAGTTTTAACGGGCGCCAGAATGCCAGTTCAAGAGAGAACTGGATCCACACTGCCATCTGTCGGCCTGGGTCATCACTCCCACCAAATCTAACTAAAGTTACGAAAGTAATAAACCTCACTATTGACTAAATTCACATGTAATTTTATGAACAATAATTATCACTTATACTTTATCATGTCAAATATTAATGTAGGAACCAAAACGGAAATGAATTCACGGGTAAAAATCTAGAAAAAACTTGTGAGGCGGGCGTTAGTGAAAGTGGTGGTCTCAGTCGGTGAGTTGGAATGTGCCATTCTCACAAACGCGCGTTCTCTCTTTATACCATGCTACAAACGATGTGATAGGGATATTAAAGTTTGTAGACAGCTGTTCTTTACACACTCACTCTCTTCTTGTTCTTACACCGTTACTACAGTACCACACACCTCCCATGGGATGGAACTTGGAGGCTGCAAATACATAACTTGACGTCAACATTCTCTTACCCACCTGTCTGCTAATGAAATACCAGACGCATAAACCCGCTAGTCACAGGTTTCTGCCTTACCTGTGACGAACAAAGCGAACGTCGCAGTAACCAGTGTTTTGTTTACATTATAATCTCAAGACGAGGTATAGCGCTGTCCTCCCTTTGCCAAACGCTATCAACACTTCACACCGAGCTACGGACAAACAGCTTCACCCATCAACATTTTTAACGCAACAGTGGCAGCGTCCTTTCATGCGTTAATTTATTCTGATGAATGATAACAATAACGAGATAAATTACACTCCACCTTCAAGACAGTTCACTCGACGTGGTTTAAATGACTAAGCTGACAAATTTAAGATTTTAACATATCCCGCCGGGGAAGAGGAACTTAGGCAGCAAAGAAGGATCGTGATAACTATATTTTTTTAAAGAAATAACTTCCCACTGAGGACTAGGGAGATTCCTACAACCGTTACTGAGCATCTCGAGCGCTAACCCCCCCACACACGAGCCCCTACATCCGCCCCTGGAGTGGACCCCCCCGGAGACAGGTGTGGGGTAGCAGCAGGAGGTGGACGTCGCAACAGACCACACACACTCCTGCTCACAAACTAGAAAGTCACAAAAGCACCTGATTGAACACTCTAACCGTGAATCATTCACCTCACCTCTCGTTACATACATCCACCTGTTATGCATAACACTCACTCACCCCAGTACACTCAAGGTACCACTGACATTCTGTTTTACTTCACTAGGAAAAACTATATCATGCCAGATACGAGTGTTCACTGACCATTGGTTACAAATGATTATAAACGCCTGCCAGCTGCAATAACGCCACGCCTCACACCCTCCTTACGTCATAGTAAACGATCACTATTTGAAATCGTGCTTCCCACCCATCACACAATGTGGAAATAATTCTAAAACTATTTAGTCTAGCAATGAAAAAAAATAACAAAACCCACAACTATTCTAACCAACTTTAAGAGTCATCAACCAATTACTGCAAATGACATTAGTATATAAATAATCAACTCAACATACGTTTAATAAACATAAATCATATGACAACCAGAAAATTTTGTCTCCCAAGTTATAATTAAAAACATCGCAGCTCAACATAAACACAAATATTCCCAAGGCATCAATAACTGGATCCTAAAGTCACTTCAATAAGCCTTGACACACTGATGGCGACAAAAAATTCGCACGCTTACTACATGCAGAACCCGAGCTCCCCCCCAGACGGAACACACTGATTATTTGCCATTTCTGTCCAACACCATCACACACCAGCTTATTGTAACACAAATACACCAGCCTCCTTACTAGTGAATCACGCCACACTGCCATTCACCTCACCAGCCTGGCACTGTCTCCACCTCACGCTGATATCTAGTGCCAGGAAATTTGAACACAAGAGCAACACTGAAACTCCCTCATCAGGAGACACCAGTGCCCCGACGGAACCCACCCGCACGACACATCCGGGCAACACAGGGAGGAGATGCATATACATTAGTGATCTACCTCCACCCTCCCTCACTGATAGTAGTTACTGAGACACTGTTCCTCCACCACGGCACCACCACAAGCTGCACTGCCTCTATTTGCCATCGACATAGAAAACGGGAACGGGGCAGATTGGAGGTAAACTTCCCTGTCTTATAATAATTAACCCCAAGTGAAACAACACTGAAATTGCAAAACACATGAATGTAATAGAATCAGTGATATAAAATAAAGCTGTCAGTACTTCACATTCCTCCTCAGATTAACTATCCCACGCCACAGTTTTCCCATGGATTAAATTTTACTAACTGTTCTAAAATCATAATTAACTCGTGACTGTGAAGTGTGGAGGAGGAACAGATTGAACGCGGTGAAGGGGAGGAGGTAGGCGCAAAGGCTATGAAAGGAGGTGAAGGGGTACAAGTGGGAGGTGAAGAGGTACAAGTGGGAGGTGAAGGGGTACAAGTGGGAGGTGAAGAGGTACAAGTGG